TTAGAAGATCAAAGGCCAGAAGAAAAGCGAGAAGGCAATGCATGATGAATGCTGAATCAAGAAATTTCTTAGGACGTGTTTGGTTTCTGTAAGTTTTAGTTGCATAGAGTTTTCCACATGGTGTTCCTCTAGGTACTTCATTTCTGTTCAGCATCAGTTTATCTTTGAACACGACGGAAAGTGAAATTTTCTTTTCCTTTTTTTTTTTTTTTCTTTTTGATTAAAAAAAAAAGTCAAAAGTTTTAAGGCTTTATATATAAGCACCATTAATTTGAGTGATAAGCTGAAGCTGAATTATACCTAACAATTCAAGTGGAGATTGGTGTTGTAATTGCGTCCTCTTGAAAGTGTAAATCACATGCACTGTTCACATCAGGGACAGAATAATATTTCATTGATTTTAGAATTAAACCTTTTATCTGTTTAGTCCATGTAGTAGGTTCTTATTTTTTTAATTATTTGTTTCTTTGAGTTATCATTGGTTGTTTATTCAATTCGGGATGTAGTTCTTATGAAATAGAAAACAAGCTTAGTTTCGGATGTTCACAATCAATGAATTCAGTAAACATGTTTCTTTTTTAGATTTTCGCTTTTTTAAAAAAAAATTCTAGAAACTAAACACCTTTCTCAGATTTTTGTGGAAACAAAATGAGATTTTGAGAACATCTATGACAAAGAAAGGAGGGAAAAATCTAACGTTCTCCACCCATTAAGTTCACGAAGGAACTTGAAGAGGGCTGAATTTTATTCTTGATATCTAATAGGAGTGTGTGGTGAAGTGCTGTTGTAGTTAGTTAATTATGTAGGTAAATGTAATGGTTTTATTTGGGAAAACTAATTATTTAACCGGTATTGAGAATTACTGGCAATAAAGAGAACACAAATGTTACTGAGAGAAAGACAGGGGTACCTGTTCCTTTCTTTGTCATACTATGATGGCTAGCTTCCCTTAGTTCTTTTGCTATTTAGTGGAAGGGAAGTTGTCTGTACATGTTTTTAAACAAGATGGTCATGGTCTTGTTGTTAGGGGGCAATGAAGAGAATCTGTTAGCACATATGGTTGTAATTTATCATTTTTTTAAATAAAAAGTGTGAATAATTTCTCATTTTCAAACTATGCAGGTGCTTCGGATTTTGCCTTCTAGGTCTTTATCTTGTCAAATTGTAGTAAAAAGGTCTGCTCTATCCTTGGAGGGGTTTCTGCGTGAATATTTCCTAACAGGTTCTCCAGTTATAATAACTGACTGTATGGCTCACTGGCCAGCCACAACAAAGTGGAATGACATGTATTATCTCAAAAGGGTTGCTGGTGGTCGAACGGTGCCAGTTGAGGTGATTTGACAAATCCTATTCTGAAGGGCATTAATCAAGAAAGATTGATTCTCTTTTTCTTTTAGAGTCGAGGAAACTTTATAGAAGCATTTAACATTTAATGATTCTTACTATCTATTGTTTGCTACTCTTAAAAACTTTGTCCTAGTGATTAGACTTCATCGAAGCCTATGCACAAGACGATTAAACTAAAGACATTCTTTACCTTTTAGCTCTAGTGCTGTAGGTGTTATGTCAAAAACAATATCTGTTTATTTGTATTTTTTCATTTTTCCTTACCTCTAGTTTTGATGCTTCCTTCAATTTCCTCTAGTCTCTTGGCTGATAATTCCAATATGATTGGTTAATCGTTATTTGTTTTTAATGACTGAAAACTGGTAAAGTCCAAATACTTTGCAGGTTGGGAAGAACTATCTATCCACAGACTGGAAGCAAGAGCTCATCTCATTTTCACAATTCCTGGAGAGGATTCAATCCAGTAATTGTTCTTCCGTAACCCCTTCTTATCTAGCTCAGCATCCATTGTTTGATCAGGTGCGTGTACATCTTATTATGCGTTCTCTCAAATTCATTACTTCATACTGAACCACACACATATATATATATATATTTATTTATTGTATGCAAATGGCAGATCAGGGAGTTAAAGGAGGACATTTGTACTCCTGACTACTGTTTTACTGGTGGTGGGGAGCTAAGACCTCTCAATGCTTGGTTTGGTCCAGCTGGGACAGTGACACCCTTGCACCATGATCCACATCATAATATACTTGCTCAGGTATTGTATGTTGCTGCCTTCTCAAATCACTCCCACGCACTCCCCGACACCTAAAGAAAAAAAAAGGAAAATTTGCTTTTCATTAATTGATATAAGCTACTTCCTTTTCATGTTATTTTCTAATTGCTTTGGATCTTAAACTTTCGACTGATGCGTGTTGCATATGCTCTCTCTTGCTTAACTAATCTATATATGCACAAATATTTTCTGCTTTTTTATCATTTGATAGCATTCTCTTGAATGTTTCCTCTCCTTTGTGCTATATGCGTTTATGCAAATTATGTGTCATTGCATTTATTGGAAATACCTCTGGCTTTAGATATTTGGCCTCTCTGTTTCCAGGTTGTTGGCAAGAAGTATGTAAGGCTCTATCCTGCATCACTCTCTGAGGAACTTTACCCATATTCTGAAACCATGCTTTGCAATTCTAGCCAGGTAACTCCTGTTGAACAGTTCCTTTGACTGGAGATTTTTCTGGATTTGCTCATATTTTGGCGGTAGCATCTATACAATATGGTTCCGTATTCGAAGTGGTTTTCATGAACTTAATCCATTGGATGCTTCTCTCTCTCCTTTCCTCTCTCTCATATGCTGGCATGAAAAGATATGCATACCAAGACTGTTAGTCTTCTCAATACTCTGCAGAGTCGTATATTTCATTTTCATGGTTAGAATGTTATAATTCCCCTGCGGATATCCAGTGCCAAAGCTTCTGATCCATTTTCTTTCTAGGCTTGGTTATATTATTATACCGGTCCTTGAAACCAGCAAACAACAAAACTTGTGGGTTTCCACCTTACATCTTATCCATGATATGTGAACCAGACCTTGTGTTCGGAATGCATGCTGATTGAATTAAGCTGCGTGGCAGTCTTGGCTCATGGCATTCCGGTTTTTTAGTTGTTAATTTAAAGCTGGTATGTGGCATAATTAGCTTATCTATTTGTTAGTTTTTCTCAGAAAAACTAATAAGCTGAAAACTGTGGGACACGGACCCTTGATGTCCGGGGAAATGTTGGCACTTGGCATCACTCATCAGGGGTTGTCCCTTGGTATAGAGTCTTAACATTTAGCATCAGAAAACTTTCTTGGCTTTTGTTTGATTTGTTAATTCACAGAAAAGTTACATTACTAGAACTTGAAGAATGAACAAATTTAATCCTTGTTTATGTATGCACTGATAGAAATGGGAGGATGCCTTTTTCTCCCCCCTCTTTCTTTTTGAGATGGGAAATGGGAGGAAATTTTAGGAAGGGAAAGGGAAGATTTTCTTTTTATAGCAATGGGGTTTTGCAAATGAGATTTACATCTCCAAACCTTTTTTTCCCCCCTTAATTCCTTCAAACTAGTGGAAAATGGAAATATTTCTTGCTTTTATGATTTTTTTACTGTGTGGACCATTTTGATGTTAAATATAGCTATCGACTAGTCTACATTAACGAAGAGAACAACGTAAAAAAGCACTTACAAAGAATTCCATTCTATTTCTTTATTGTTTTCAAACATCTAAACAGAAGGAAATTTGTTTCTTTCTCTTGCTTCTTCTTTCTTCCCTTTTCTTTAGCTTAGTAAAGTATGTAATTTGTGCAAACATTCTCTCTTTTGTCAGTGAAGATATCTTCCTGATTAAAATTGTTAATGCTTGTCCTTACCTTTCTTCAAAATTTGGCAAGTCCAGTATTGGTTTTTGTTGTATGTAGGAGTTTCAGAGCTAAATGAGGCTAATATTGTTTGTCGGTTTCTATGAAAACAGATGTCCAATTTTAACACTAACCTTATTTGTAGGTTGATCTAGACAATATAAACGAGAAAGAATTTCCTAAGGCAGTTGAGCTAGAATTTGTGGACTGTATTTTAGAGGAAGGCGAAATGCTTTACATCCCGCCGAAATGGTGGCACTATGTGCGATCTCTAACAACAAGCTTTTCTGTTAGCTTCTGGTGGAGCAATAATGGAGGTTCTTCCTGATGAGTACGCAACATCAGTGTCTGTGTTCTAATTTTTTTGGTAAGGGGTTTAACCCGATATATCAGGAGAAAGAAACCGTTGCAGGGAGAGTAAAGGAATATGATATTATAGTTTAGTGTATATAGACATTTTGCTCGGTAGCTGATCATAATCAAACCCTTATGGAACGACATTAGTGTGCATGTTTTGCAATTTGAGTGCATCTTGGATTTGATGGAAAGATGCTTGCTTACTTGTTAAAAGTGATTTTAAAATGATTGTTTTTTTTTTCAAAGCACATTCTTCCTAACCTTTCAGTCTTTTTGTTTTGAATTATTACATACTGTAATAAAGAGGAATTTATCTATTTTAACAATTATATGTATATATATATATATATATATTTGTGATGAGGTAAGATTCTGCATATGTATAGACTTAAAAAGAACAGTTTCTGGGTGTTAATTAGGGTCAAGAAGTGAGATGTGCGAATGACTTATTGGGTAGTAGTGTAATTAACTATCATTTGGTTATTGACATCCCATGATGGTGTATAATATATACACATTTATATGATAGTTTAAAGAGAAGGAAAATCTCTGCAACACCATGAAATGACAAAACATGTGAACTGGTCAAAACTGAGATCACACGTGACGTGTTCCTTCCTCTACGTGTGGAAAAATAGAAGGTGACAATGTATTATTGTCGTCAAAAAGTCTAACCCCACCACCCATGGCGGCCCCAATTCCCCGTGCTTTTAATTTACGAAAAGAAATATGAATTTGAAAAAAAGATGTTATCAGTTTTAATTAAACTGTAATCCGTTTTCCACCACCTTCCTCGTCAAAGCAGCCTCGAGGAACGCATCCATGGCTTTTACAGAAGACCCTCTCCAACCATCTTCATTCTTCGTCGCAGCCATGATTGTCTCCTTCATTTTCTCAGCTTTCCTTCTCGTATCCTTCCCCTTCTCTCTCTCATCCATTACTACCTTTATCTTTTCTGCAATGTCTTCCTGTTTGACCTCGCATGTATTTCCTCTCGCCACCTCGACGCAGACCCCGAGCTCTTCCATCAAGAACTTGACATTGAAGAACTGCTCGCCCGCCATTGGCCAACCCAGTAGAGGTACCCCACGGCTGAGAGATTCAATCACAGAGTTCCACCCGCAGTGACTCAGAAAAGCAGAGACCGAGGGATGTGACAAAATCTCTACCTGGGGTGCCCATTTCTGTACTAATAACCCTCGGACCTGACTCACTCATTCTCTCTGAAAATCCTTCCGGAAGCCATTTTTCGGCGTTGAAGTCTGAGTTTATGTCAAATCCGGTTGGTGGCCGAACCACCCAGATGAAATTCTTGCCGCTGAATTCTAACGCCATGGCTAATTGACTCATCTGGGCTGCAGAGATTGTGTTAATTGACCCAAATAAGATGTATAACACTGATTTTACAGGCTTCTGGTCTAGCCACTTTTTGCAGAGCTCTGGTGAGACAATTCCGTCTTCTTTGCCGGCTCGTGGTCTGCTTTGTTCCGGCAAACAAATGGGCCCAATTGACCAAACTGATAGACCTAACTTTCTCTTAAAATACAACGTTCCTATCCGATCAAACTCCTCCGGTGAGTTGAACAAGATCCCGTCCGAGTTAACCCACTCAGGCAGGTTCGAATTCTGAAAAACTGACCATGAGTCAGTCCCGTCAGCCTCCACCATGGAAAGAGGCAGCTGGGTCCGGCGAATTTTCGACGCCTCCTGAAAATCCGGCAACGTAAACTCGTCATCTCCTGCGAATTTCAGGCGAGGAAGATTGGTCCACAAGGAGTAATAACAAGCCAAACCGAATGCACCAGCACCCACTAAACACGACATGGAAGATGCCAAGCTCCCTTGCAACACTAGCCGTCCACCCGAAGAAGATATCGCCGATAATGCAGAGGGGACGTCGGCCATTATCTACCTTTATCTGCTCCGTTATGAGCTCTTTAAAGACAGGTTTGAGAGACGCGGAGGCTTGGAGGAGGTGAGGGACAAGGTGGTAAGGAAGGGCATCGCAGTTCTCTGCGCCGGGAGGGAGCTGGCCATGGCTGGAGCTGTCGAAGGGGGATCTCCAAAAGGTGGATGGATGAGCTTGGGGGAAGAGATGACTTGAGGTTCATGATGTTTTTTGTGGGGTTGACGAATGTCATGGCGTAGGAGCCTCTGGTTTTTTTCTCAATATGAAGGGCTAGAGCGAGGAAGGGGATGATATGGCCTTGTGCCGTGAAGGGGAACATGATTATGCGTTCTTTTGTTTCCGCCATCTTTGTGTTACCGTCTTCTGAGGCTCCTACATCTCAAGGAGGAAGAAGAAGAAGATTTTATTACAAACTTGTATTATAATTTATTCTGGCAATCTTCCATCTTCCTTCTCCGTCCTCTTTCTCTCATCCCCAAAGCAGCATTCAAGAACTCATCCAAATAATATGCACGTCAAATCATAAAACTTTCAGAATTTCATAAAACTGACCATATCAAACAGAACAGATCATGGGCAGACACGGATATTCTTAGTATCTTTTAAATCCTAAACGAATCTCATGGTGCAAAACAAGAATCTCAAAATCACAATTTATTGTGATCTAACAAAAGAAAGCAAATCCATTGCAATCAAAAACCATGTAGCAACCAAACATTCCAGAACATAAAAAATACCAAGTGCCCTCACCAGTACAAGAATATTTGCAGAGAGAAATGAGGGATGCAACACTCATTTTTAAGTGTCGTTTTTCTTAAATAATGAAACGTAGATGGCATGGAGACAAAGTACAGAGAAAGTAATAGCTACTCAGCTTCAAAACAGTACGCCCAAACGTATTTCCTCAAGCCCTTTCATTACCATTTGGTCATAACAAGCCCTAGAATATAAGGAATATCAATACCAGTTTATATGACAAACTCAGAAGCTTCTGTTGCCGAAAAATTGTTGCCACTTCTTTCCTCTCTTCTTAATGTCATGTTGAAATCACCCCCAACAATGCACTTTCCTCCCCATTTGATTCTGCATTTCTCCAGTTCTTCCCATAGAATTGTCTTATCCACTTTATTACCTCTACAATAAACACCAGTGAACATCCATTCAACATGCTCCTTACAATTTCTACAAATATAGGACATGGTACATTCGTTTATGATTACATCCACACAATTCACCCAATCCTCCTTCCAAAAGATAATCATCCCACCAGCTAATCCTTTTAGCGGGTAATGCATGTCAATCCCAGTTGTTCTCACACCATAAACTGTTTATCACATCAGAGGAATGATCTTCAATTTTCGTTTCTTGCAGACACAATTGCAGGCTTCCATTTTTTCAAACATCCTTTAATAACTAGCCTTTTACTCCTGTTATTCACCCCATGGACATTCCAAGACACAATTTTCCCTATCATTCACAAATCGTCTTTAATCACGCCAGCTGCCTTGCCCTCTTTTTTTCTTCCGTCCTAGTTTATGGATGACTCCAATCTTTTAAGCTCCCTAGGGGTACCACAACTCACTTTCTTTTTCTCTTTTAGAGTAGACCTTGCTTTACTCGAGAGCACTCTTCTTTTTTCTATTTCAGAGAAGAAAAAATACGATAAATTTTTCATACATCTAATGAAACACCCATCTTCTTCCTGAACTTATTCACGTTATTAATGACCCATTGAGAACAGTAATTCACTTCATGGGCAGAGATGTTGACTCCCTCCAAACTCAGTTGACTAATTTCTCCAATTTCTGGATCGAAAGTTGAATCCAGGGTCATAGCGTTTATCTCTACCACCATTAAATCACGGTTCATCTTCAGGTCTTCATTTTCCTCACACGGAAAATCTACATCATACTCCAATTTCTGGATCGAAGTCCTTCATAGTAGAGAAAACTGAGCAGAGGTCTTCTTCTTTTTCTCTCACTGCAAAGCACTCAGCATCAGAAACCTTTTCATCTTTTTCCTCAGCCTTTTTCTCTTCGTCGAGCCCTAATTCTTTCTTTCCTTTTTCTTTATTTTCATCCGAATCCACAGGCATAAAAATTTCCACTTCCTTTGTGCCAGATGATTCACCCCGAGTCGGCTTAAAAGAAACACTCGGATCCAGACGTATTACAGGGCCCCCGGTAATATCAGCCTTCATTTTCCATTCCTCCTTTTCTCTCCATGTAAACTGTTTCTTTTCGTCCTGCCCAGTTTTTTTTGTCATTTTGGAATCGACCGAGCGAAAAATAGCCCTATCACCCTTTTTACCCAAGACGACATTTAAGTCTGTTGTTTTGATTTCTGTCCATGCTCCCGTTATCTGTTCGGTTTTGTCGACTCGGGCCATCCCGATTGGAAACACATTCGGGTTTCCTCTGCCCTACCCGAATTGCATTGCCTTTGACAGCTTGTAACGCCGTCGCATATGTTCTGATGCCCTCGTATTCCATCGCGACGTTGATCGGTGTGTTGCAGTGCGGACAGTGAGAGGAGGCTTTCCATGGAGTTTTCTTTTGGTTCGCATTCTCCTTTGGATGTTCTGTTTTTCTCCCTCCCCCTTCATCAGCAGTCTTAGGATTTTTTACCGGTTTATCAGCCAGTTCAAATGCTGCCACCATCAGCTTCAACCACCCTCTCCCCTGCATTCCTCCCAGGAAGAAAATACTTTTCACTCTTCGGTCTCCTTGAACAGTTAGGGTTAAATATTCCCCTCGCCTGTCTGTTCCATACGACAACCACAGTTCGTAGTTCCTCTTCACTCAGTGCTTCGCTCAGATGCTCGATCTGCTTCTCCACCAGAAATCATCGAACCCATCGACGAACCACCCATACTCCTCACTGTCTAAGAAGATCGACCTTCGGAAGCCGTGCCTGTTCTTAGTGATTCGCAATCCTTCTACCTTCTTCCCTTCACAACATAAAACTCTAACGATTTATCCTCAATAACGAGATACCTTCGTCCATACGAGATCATGGAGATATTTGGGTGAGGTGGTCGGCCTAGGCGGCCGAACAGAAGTCTAATCGGGGTTAGGGTTTTAGAGAGAAATTTCTAGAGAGAGAGAGAGAGAGTTGAGGTCCCCCCCTACAATAGAATTCCCTTCCTTTGATTCTTTCCTCTCCATCCCGTTACTAAAATTTACCCAAAAATAGTGTTAGCACAAGCATAAGTTAGGACCCTGCCACTTCAAAACAGAGAGCAGCAGCCAAACAGGAAGAGACACAGGACTCGCCTACCTCAACAACTATGCACACCTCTTGAACAAACAATTATAAACACTAACTGAAAATATATATGACAGACTAAATGTAGCCCCTTCAGATGAGAGAAAAAAGAAAAAGGATTGGGTTATATTGACAAAAGTTTCAAAAGAAAACAACATGATGTAGGTGATCAATAGGGGAATATAAAAGAAATCTTGCGAGTGGTAAGCTGTGAGTACTTACATTTGAGCATTTGAAGTAGGTGATCAATGGGGAGAGAAATAAAAGAAAGTCATCGTAAAACTAAAAGAGGAATAGTTCAGAACCAGAGCTATGTAGGCGAAGTCATTTGAGAGCCAATAACTCCTTAAAAATCACCATTTAGAGGCATGGGTTACTACTACCATTCGTAAATGATTGCCTAAAAGGCCAAAAAAATCAATGGACAAAATAAGAGTATGGTATTTATATTAATCAAGTCTCAAGTCCCTAAAGCTATAATTGTAACCAGATGTTGCATACCTCTTGAACCAGCAATTATAAAAACTAACTGAAAAAACATAATATGACATAGCCTGGATGTAACCCCCTGTAGATGAGAGAAACAAGAAAAAGGAAAGGGTTGTATTGACAAAAGCTTAAAAGAAAAAAACGTATTGTTCAACAAACTATATAGATAAAATAATATTCACATGCCACCATTCCAACCCAATCGATAGTATAGCTCCTCAAAAAAAGTAAAATTATTTTGGAATTTACAACGAGAATCACCATTCCATCAATAAACTTTTGAATTTGACAGATAACTAGATATTTGAGCTCTAAAAAGTACAATACAAAAAATTGTGATGCAACTGCTTCATAGTACATTGATTAAATACCGACATATTACTTAGACATTTATTTATAACCTAAGTAATATGAAAGTGTTTGAGGTTGATTATTATGTACTTTTAAAAACTCATTAAACTATAAGAAAAAAAAATGTTTGTTTGTTTATATCTCAAAATTAAATATATAAAGAGATTAAGAAAGTGGAATACCCTCGATGATTTTTTACGATCATAATCTCCCCTTTCTAGTTCCCCACCAAGAAACCCAAAATCCCAACCCTCCTAGAAACAAAGAAGAAGAAAGCTCCCTTCACAACAATCTCTCAGTTTCTAACCCGCTTCCAAGAAACCCTAAACCGTAAATCTTAAACCTAAATCTTAAAACCAAAAACTTAAACCCTTTTCTCTAAAGCCTAAACCCTTAAACCATAAAGCCCTCAATCCTAAATTCTAAAGCCTAGATGAAAAAACTTAAACCCTAAACTGGAAAACCTAAACTCCTAAATCCTTAACCCTACATTTTAAAACCCTAAATTCCTAAACTTCAAACACATAAACCCTAAAACCTATACTCTAAACACTAAACCCCAAAACCTAATCCCCTAAAACTCAAACCTAAACGCTAAAGCCTTAAATCTTAAACCCTAAATCCTAAACCCTAAATTTTAAACCGTTAGACCCTACAACCTAAACCCTAAGTCCTAAAAGCTAAACACTAGACCCTACAACCTAAACCCTAAATCCCAAACACTAAACCCTAAAACCTGATCCCTAAAATCCAAACTCATACTTTAAACTCTAAACCATAAACTTTAAAGCCCTAAACCCTAAAACCCTTGATTTGGAATGCAATACCATTAAATAAAGGAATAAAATGCTATTGCTACAAATCTCTAACTATTGTTGCCAGGAAGACTTTGTAGGAACAGTTAAACAAAGAAGAATCAACAGTATGGGAAAAACAGTTCCTTTATGATACATATTCCTGCATGATTTAAGCATTCCATGCATACTTAACACAAGTTTTTTAGCAGCACAAAAGCATTAGATACTCCTAAAACATTGAACGTCAGCTTTAGAGGAATATAAAAGAAATCAGGCGAGTGGTTAGCTATGAGTACTTACATTTGAGCGCTTATAGTAGGTGAGCAATAGAGAGAGAAACAAAAGAAAGTTACTGTAAACTAACAGAGGAATAGTTTAGAACCAGAACTGTGTAGGCAAAGTCAATTGAGAGCCAGCAACTTCTTAAAAGGCACAATTTGGAGGCATGGGTTGCTGCCATCCGTAAATGACTGCTTTAAAGACAATAAAAATCAATGGACAAAATAAAAAGCAATAATAAACCCTAACTTAATATATATATATATATATATATACATATATATGACATAGCTTGAATGTAGCCCCTGCAGATGAGAGAAACAAGAAAAAGAATTGGTTATATCGACAAAAGTTTCAAAAGAAAAAAAAAAAACATAATATTCAACAAACTATGCGGGTAAAATAATATTCACATGCCACCATTTATTTGAATATATAGATATATATATATTCACATGTCACCATCATAACCTGAATGACAGTAAAGCCCTTCAAAAAATAAAATTATTTTAGAATTTGTAATGAGAATCATATTGCAGCATTAAAGTTTAGAATTTGACAAATAACTAGAAATTTGAGCTCCAAACAGCGTAAGAAAAAAAGTTGTGATGCAGCTGCTGTATAGTATAGACTAATTAATAATGAACAAATTACTCTACACATTAAAGCTTGAGTGTTGTATCATGGAAAAAAAATCCAATCTATACAAACAACTAAGTGGAACAAAAATTAAAAATGGCACCCCTTTAACTTGATGATCAATTAAGTGTTAGCAGTCATTATCTTAATTTCTATGATTTCTTTTTATCATAATTCTTTCATATTTAAACATATGTGAACAGTAGAATTAGACTGTAACGCCTCCAGAAATTTCAAATGAAATAAATTATAAATTAAGTGCGGAAGTAAAATAAATAATTAGGGTTTATATTCCTTACATAATGACTTAAAGTATCAAATAGTGTTACGAAAATTACTATTTGAAGGAAATACAAAAAAAATTAAAGAAATAAACGGAAAATAAATAAAACTGACATCCTACTCGCAACATTCTTGTGGGTCGGGATCTGAATCCTAGTTCTCTTGATCTGAAATTATTAATAAAGGAATGAGCTGTACTAACTCAATAAGAATATCATGCTATTCACCGATACATAAATGAAAGTTAGTAGAAAAATTAAAACAACTAATAGAACTCTTAATTAAGGAAATTTACTTATCATAAACAAAATCATTTACCATCTTCTTACTGTAACGAGATTTACAAAATAACTTATAAAGACAATAATATAACACATATCATAATTTCATATGCAATTGGTTGGAATAACAATTTTCTCTTTTATCAGCCTACTGGTATTCATGGGGGTTCATAGGGAGGTCCCCACAACGCGTGAACCATTTTCTTTAACATTTCTAATTTACCGGTCATTCCCATACCCCGTCGGGTATGAGCGTCAAACTACCAAACTTTGATACTCCATCCGGTATGAGGCAACATTCACAGTAGGGTTCTCTACGTACCCGCTCCGTCCACAATCTCACAGGATATCTAGTAAGTTTGTCATTTCATCCATTCACTTAATCACATAATTTTTCGTTGACCTTTAATCTCCAGTTTTCCAATTCAACTGTAAACACGTAAAACAAACAATACATACATTCAAAACTATAAAATCGATCAATCAGATACCATCATGCATTCAAACTGCAAACTCAATCAACAGAATTAATAGTAAATAATTTTCTATTTTGGCTCTATTAGTAACCCGTAATTAATTATGAATATTTTTTAAATTTCACAAAATACCATATTTATTAATTTGACTTCAATTTTATAATAGAGAATAGAGTGAAGAATTTTTACTCAAATTGATCCCTAAAAAGTTAAACTTGTTGATTGCGGCTACTGGTGGTCCCTAGGTTTCCTGAATTTTTCTTCGGGGATTAAAACGTACTACAAGTACCTACAAATATCCTAAAAAACCCAAAATCAATGTCAGGACCTCTTTTTGGCCAACTCCGGTGATGGCGTCGCTGCCCATAATGGTGATTTGCCTTAGGTCGGCTGTTTTCGGCCAGTTTTCCATCAATCCCTGCGAGAAAATATGTTAAGAGGCCTTGGTTGACCGGAAAAAAATAAAAAATCGAAACTCACTGGCGGCGAGGTTCTCCGGTGTGGCGTCTCCACCGGCTCACTTTTGCGGTTGGGTGTTTTGCTTCGGTTAACCTATAGAGAAGGAAACGATAGTTATAATGGTGAAAGAATTATGCAGAACGGGAATCGGGAAGGGCCTTATCAGAGGCATTTTTTGAAATTTCCCGCAGCAATGCTGCAAAGCTTTTCCCGCAGTTTTCGGTCGATCTGCCGGTCTTTTTGCTCCGATTCAGCTATGAGAATGTTTAAAATTGAATTTCGAGCAAAGAGAGAAATATTTGCCTCTTTTGGCGGTCGAAAGTGGCTTCGGCGCGGCGGCGGGTGGCGGTGGCTCTCTTTCCCGGCAGTTGGGTCTTCTTCTCCGGTGAGGGTATCTGGCGGCTAGGGTTAAGGTTTGGTGTGAATAGGGTTATTTATATCATTTTTCTTTTAATATGGGCCATCCATCCTGTTTGATCTGGATCATTCGATTCTGATTAAATAGGGAGTGAATATGGACCGTTTATTGCGATCTGATCTAGACTGTCCGATCGCATTTAAATAAGAAGTGAATCTGAACCGTTGATCACGTTTAAATCTGACTGTCTGATCGCGTTTGGGGAGGGAACGCATCCGAGCCATCTATGTGCGCGGGAGCGAATCTGGGTTGTCCGATCACGGACATGCGGATCATCCGCGTGACACCACGTCAGTATCCCTTATCACACGGTGGGTTCTGCTTTGTCGGGGTTGATGACTGGGCGTTCTACGTGACACATCTTTTTTAAATTGTATTTTGATCCCTAATTTCTAATTTTTCTTTCAAAAGTACCATCGGAACCCAAATTTTCACCCATTTTTCCTAAAATTATTTTCAATTTCATCCTCCACCTATATTTTTTTTTATTTTTACATTAAAAATAAAAAATTATATTTATAAATTAATTTAAATTACATTAAAATTAATTTGAGTATTACATAGACCATCCACATTCAAATAAGTTTCTTCAGACTATGTCTTAAAGACTAGATACGTGAAGAAACATTGAGCCATGTCTCAAATGTTCAGCATATAAATCATAAAACTTTCAAAATTTCATAAAACTAACTATATCAAACAGATCATATGCAGACAGGGATATTCTAGTATCTTCACAATCCTAGACGAATCTCATGTTGGCAAAAGGAATCTCACAAAGACATTCACGCAAATCACCATTTATTTTGATCTAGCCAAAAGAAAGCAAATCCATTGCAATCAAGAAAAAAGAGACCAAGTGCCCTCACTGGGACAAGAATATTTGCAGAGAGAAATAAAGGACGCAACACTCCTTAAGGTCATTTTTCTTAAATAATGAAACATAAATGACATAGAAACAAAGTACATAGAAAGTAATAGCTAATTGCTTCAAAATAGTAAATGCAAACATATTTCCTCACGCCTTTTCATTACCATTTGGTCATAACAAGCCCTGGGATATAAGAACAAATACTAAACAGGTCTAGTAGCAATATCAAGACCAGTTAAATGATAAAATAGAGAAGTTGTAATGCCCGGAAAGAGGGAAAAAAAAAAGAAGTGCCACGTCAGCAGACCCAGTCAGCAGTCCTGGTCAACCAGGACCTGCCACGTGGCAAGACCACGTCGATCGAAGACGGGCCACGTTGGCGATCCGCGTGCGCGCGATTGGACGACCCAGATCAATCGCGCGCACGGACGACCCAGATTTAATCGCACGGACGGCCCAAATTTAATCAAAAACGGACGGCTCAGATTAAATCAAAATGGACGGCTTACGATCAAAAAGGCAAAAGGGTATAAATAGAACCCCCACACCAGACCACAAAAACCCTAGCCGCCTGCCCTCACCGGAGAAGACGAACCAGAGCCGGCCGCCGCCGCTCGCCGCCGCACCGGGGAAATTTCCGACCGCCGATCGAGGTAAATTTCACACCCCTGACTCGTTTTTCCACGTTGATTCCCCCTGTGGTCAAATCGGAGCCAAAATCCCGGCCAAACGGTCGGAAAATACGGCCGAAAGCCAGCGCCGCCGCCGCGCCCCTCCTCGGGTTTTGCCTCCGATGAGGCCTTTCCCGGCCTCCTTTTGATGCAATTTTTATATCACCGTGATCACCATTCTTTTCTCTACAGGTTGACTAGAGCCGAATCACCAAAAGACAAACCTCGTCGGAGAGCTGCCGCACCCGAGAGCACCGCCGCCGGTAAGCTTCGGTTTTCCGTAATTTTTCGGCCCCCCGAGGGCCGTAGGGTTGTTTATTCACAGAAACCAATGCGAGTGTGGCCGAATTCGGCCGAAAACGGCCAACCCGAGGAGAATCGCCGCCGCTTGCGGCGGCGCCGTCGCCGGAGCACGGCGAAGCCGCCGTGCCGGAGTTGCGATATTGGTCGAAAGGGGCCCTGGGCCTAATTTGGGATTTTTTGGAACACGTACAGGTACCGTTAGTGCGTTTCAGCTTCCCGGGAGAAATTCAGGGAAAATTGGGGACAATTTGTAGGCGCATTGTGAAGCCGTGTTCGGACCCCTAAACGAGTAAGGACAACTCACCCTATTTCCTATTACGGTGTTAAAGTTCAAAAATGATAAAACGGTATTTCTTGAACCATCGAATGTATAACATTGCTTAAGGTCGCTAATGGAGCCCGAGTCTAGTGTGTTGTTGGTTAACTGTGATTTGGCATGTTTTACAGTTTTAAATGCAGTATGAGATTTGATGTTTCCACTTTATAGTTTCGTGTGTATATTTTACTGTTTATTTAATTTTGGGTTGAATGACTAATATACCGATGCTGTATGTTGTCTGTTTGACATAAATTGCTGTTTACTTGTTTAAATGTGAATTGACGATGCTGATTGAGGGAAAGGAAAATGAAAGATTGTGTTGATTGATAATTGTGTAATGTGCTCAGCCTGACTAGATATCCTGGGAGATGGTGGACGGACCGGGTCCGTAGGGGACCCTACCGGGATTGTGGTCTCTCATACCGGACGGGGTATGGAGATTTTATGTGTTTTGGCGCCCATACCGGACGGGGTATGGGGACGGCCCGTTTCACCCTTATACCGGACGGGGTATTGAGGTTTATAGTTTTGGCGCCCATACCGGACGGGGTATGGGGACGACCCTGGAATCTGATTACAAGTATTAAGGGTAACGGGTAGTGGGACCCTATGGATCCCCATGGATACTAGTAGGCTGATGAATGAGAAAAAGTGATTGTGTAATGATTGAATTGCAAAAACGTGATGAGTATTATGTTGCATAGTTTACATGATTTCATAATAATGATAATACTATTGCTTTCGTATATTATTTTATGAATTTCACCGAGGTAAGTGAATGGTAAAAAGTTTTGTTACTGATGAATGAATTTATTGTAAATTATGTTCCATTGGTCTTTTTGTGTTTTCTACCCACCTTTACCTCCGTGACGGTGAGATATCGTGATGTCCTTACTGGGCTAGTGTAGCTCATTCCTTATTTAATCATTTCAGATCAGGAAAACATTGTTCCCGAGCCCGTTCCGCAAGAAGACGACGAAGGGGACGCCTAAAGACTCCAAAGTCATATTCATAGCTTTACTTTCGAATTTCTCTTTTAGTTAGGTTGATCTTTTATATTTTGAGCACGTTTTTCTGGTTTCAGTGTAAGAGATGTTAATCAAATTTTGACTTCGCTTCCGCATTTGATATTTTTAATATACATTTCATTCCAATTTTCCGGGGCCGTTTCAGAAGTCCATTAACCACCACATAAATTAGTTCAATTGTTATTTAATCTTTTGAGAGTCCTTGAAAGACACTAAACAGCAAGCAAGAAAGAAGAAAGAGACTAGAGTTTAAATAATACTCTCTCGGACTTTAACCAAGAAATTGATTTGCAAAAATTTGCACATAAAGCCAGAATCATATCAAGACTTGTTCAAGCGTTCTTAAGGCAGAATAAAGCATTCTAAACATTCTCAAGAAAAATCCTAATATGCTTTATAATAATCCCATTCCAGATAATCATACCAACAAAGGTTCAAGGAAGTGAGTATATAGAAAGAAACAAAAATTGTGATTATGAACATAGAAACTGATTAACCAATAACCTAAAGAACAAAGTGTTGTCATTCACAATTCAAAACAATATTTGACATAAATCCATAAGAGAAATTCATGCATACCACTAACAAATTACAGTCTCTTTCTTTCTTTATTAGCTTGTTCTGCAATTTTTCTAGTCATCCTTTCTTGATTAGAACCTAAAAGAAACTAAGAAAACTCCAAATTCTAAAAAATAGAGAAGATCTAGAATAAGAATAGCCCTCTTTTCTGCACACTTCTTCCAAAGAAACCCTCTCAAGAAAAATCCTAATATGCTTTTTAATAATCCTATTCTAGATAATCATACCAATGAAGGTTCAAGGAAGTGAGTAAGTAGAATGAATAAAATATTGTGATTATGAGCATGGAAACCGATTAACCAACAACTTAAAGAACAAAGTGTTGTCATTCATAATTCAAAGCAACATTCGACATAAATCCATAAGTGAATTAATGCATACCTCTTACAAATTACAGTTTCTTTCTTTCTTTACTAGCTTGTTCTGCAATTTTCTTAGTCTTCCTTCTCTGATTAGAACAAAAAAAAAATCAAGAAAACCCCAAATCCCAAAAATAGAGAAGATCGAGAATAAGAATAGGCCTCTTCTTCCAAAGAAACCCCGTAGAACTCCCTTTATCTGCTTTCTGATTCCTTAAGAATGCTCTTTGGATCAGGCACAAATTAGATATTTAAAGGAATGAGCTAACGGCTTGCACGAGCTAAATTAATTATTGGGCCGAGTTAAGTGCAAGAATGGGTCGGGTTGCATTAGATGTGGGTTTTAATGTAATGGAATTGAAGCCTATGGGCTTAATGGAATAGTTTTAATCGAGTAATCATACTCAATATCCGTACCTTAATTTAAATAGAGAATTTCTTCTAAATTTTCAGTTCATTATATAATTGGTCTATTTTTTATTTTTGAGTTTGGCCAAGCTATTATAAATTTAAAAAAAAAAATTATATGTACATTATATTTATAAAATTCTTGTTTTTACTTACCTTAGAGATTATATGAATAATATATAAGATTATTAAAATATGAGTTTATATAGAACTTCATATAAAATTGAAATTTCCCATGTGTGTAATTTATTTGTTAATTTGATTTACATTTCTTTAATTAACTATAAGTAGATTTATAAATATATTCCTTATTATTTGTGAATTTGCTTGACTATAACATTGGTTTAAGTAAAAATATATGTAGAAACTATTACGATGATTAAAAAAATTAAACTTAAATAAAATTTCACGTTTAATTAAAGCAATACACTTTAAATTAATTATGAATTTTTATTATAAATGAATTCAACAGAAAACTTTCATATTTACTGTCAGTATAATTATATATATTAAATTCGTAAAATACATTATTTACTTTGACTAATATTGACGGCTTGACCTCCACCTAAGCTTTCCTCCATAGAATTACAGCTCTTTCTTCCTCCACCAACCTTCAATCCCAACTCCAAAACCCTAGAAACCCTCTTTCTCTCTATCGTTAAACTCAACCAGAGAAACCAAAATGGTTACTCCTCCTCCGTTTTCGTCTTCCATTAAACTCAACCTTAACATCACAATTCCCTTACCCAGTTCAGAACAATATGAACACCCTTATGAGCAAATCTCTTCCTTTTCAAGTCTGTAAAAATAAATTCTTACTTTTTCTAAGTCTTTACGCAGAGAGCAAGAATGAATACGTTATTGGATATATGCCAAATTTACACCTTTGAACGGGAAAGGAAGCTTTACTTGATTCAATTAAACAACTTTGGTAATTAGACTAATAAATTTAGTATTAATTGAATTTTGAGTTTTTGGAAGTCATTATCAATCCAAATGTTTTTGTAATATAAAAATTAAGGATAAAAGTTAGGTATAATCTAACCCAAATTTATTATTACAACTTTCTAAATTGATAAAACAGTAATAATCAATGATCATCCTTTACCAGTTTATTCATGTCTTCTGATGAAGCAAAGATAATCTTCCATTTTCCTTCTCCATCCTCTCTCTCATCCCCAAAGCAGCATTCAAGAACTCATCCATGGCTTTTACGGAGGAACCCTTGAACCCTTCGTCATCTTCGTTGGCTTTTCTAGTAGTCTCTTTAACCTCTCCGGCTCTCCTTCTCATTTCCTTCCCTTTCCCCGTCATCTGGTTCATCACCGTCTCAATCTTCGCCGCCATAGCTTCATGCCTAACCTCACTCGTCTTCCCTCTCGCCAACTCAACACAAACCCCAATTTCATCTTCCAAAATCTTCACATTATAAAACTGTTCAGCAGCCATAGGCCAACCCAGTATGGGGACGCCATGGCTGAGAGCCTCCAGCACAGAGTTCCACCCGCAATGACTCAGAAACGCACCCACTGATTTATGAGACAGAATATCAACCTGGGGTGCCCATTTTTTAATCAGTAACCCGATTTTTGACTCACTGACTCGCTCTTCAAATCCTTCAGGCAACCATTTTTTGGCGTCGAACTCTGAGTTTATGTCAAATCCCACCGGAGGCCGAACAACCCAGACGAAGTTCTTGCCGGCGGACTCCAGCGCCATGGCCAGCTCCAACATCTGCTGCGCTGAAATGGTGTTTTGCGACCCAAATGACACGTACAGAACTGAGTTATCTGGTTTACTGTCGAGCCATTTTTTCAAGAGCTCCGTCGTGATTCCGGCTTGTTTCATTCCCGCTCGAGCAGATCTCTCAGCTGTTAAAAGAACTGGACCAATAGGCCAAACAGGGTATTTAAACTTTCTTCTGAAATAATTCAATCCAATCAAATCAAGTTCCTCGACCGTGTTAAACAAAATCCCATCGGCCTCCCCCAACATGTGAAACACTCTCTGGATAAATCTCGAAAATTGGTCTTTACCATCGGCGGCTCTGATATGTTCTGCAAGCTGCGTTACATGAAACTTTGAAGCTTCTGGGAAATCCGGCAAGGTGAAATACTCGTCGGGTTCGGAGCTCCGGTGAGGCAAGTTTAGACAGATTGAGTAGTAACAAGCGAACCCAAAGCTAGAAGAGCCAGAAAACGTCACATGGAACACACCGAATTCACGGGCCACCTCTGCGCACCATGGGAAGAAAAAGTCGGAGACGATACAGAGCGGTTTCCGGCCATTCTGGTCACGGATAAGGTTGGATAGAAAGTGATTGAAGGAGGGTTTGAGAGATAAAGTAGCTTCGAGGAAGAGAAGGATGAGGTCGTAGGGAAGAGAGTCTGTGTTCTCGGCGTTGGGAGGGAGGCCGTAGTCGGTGACGCCATTGAAGGGGATCTCGAGGAGGTGGATGTCGGAGTCGGGGGGAATGGAGGAGCTGAGTTTTCTGATATTGAGAGGAGTGTTGACGAAGAAGATGGTGCAGTTTGTTGTTTGGTGGAGTTTTTGGGCTAAAGCTAAGAAAGGAATGAGATGGCCTTGTGCCATGAATGGAAACAAGACGATGCTGTCCTTGCTCCGTGCCATGAGATCGATCTTGAGGAAGAAGATGAGGAGGAAGATAAATTATCTCATTTTTCACTGTTCTTTGGAGTGATTGGCTGATGCTCGTTAAGTGAATTCATATAAACAATATTCCAATTCATGATTTTATAATTATTCACTTAAAGAATGATTAAATTTAAAATTATTGATCTCAATTGATGACCCAATAGGAAGTCGTTTTGAAAAAATAAAAATGTTGGTAAGTTTATTTAATTAGATATGGGAGATCATCATTTGGGTTTCAATCATAGAGGTCAAAACCAAAAGATGTTTGAATAAATGTACTAAAAGATGATATGTGTGTGTGTATATTATATTGAGTCGGTTGATTTTATGGGCCTAATGGGTTACCATGTTTGTCTGGATCCTTACTCTCGTTGTAGTCAATTTTGTAGACCCATTGGCAGGAGGATTGGTCTAAATTTTTGGGTGGTGTTTGATTATTACCCATCATTGGACTTGTCAATCCCACAAGATTCATGGCTTGTTCTACGCCAAATCTCAAAAGTTTTCAAGTTTGTAACTAACAAACTTATGGTTTAATCTAAACCATCATATTTCTACTGTTGAATTAATATTTTTATCCTAACAATCAAATTGATAAAATAAGAATAATAAGAGTAAAAAAACTCATTTCTCAAACGCATAAAATTTGGTGATTATAAAATTTATATGATCGAATTAATCATCACTATAATTCAGTGATATGAAAAATATATATATATATTTTTTTTTGGAGTTTAATTGGTAAATCAAACGACAGACTTGTACCTACAGAGAACCTTACACCTTAAAACCCTATCCTGAACATAAAACCCTGGCATCACCATGATCTTTACCCGGTTCGGACAGTGTGATCTTTGCCGATCAACAAACATATCCTCCATATAATTTTGATCAAAGCTTCTATTCTCTTCTACCCTCAAAATCCCCAAAGGCGGATTGAAAGAAAATGCTAGCAAATGAAGCAACCAGATACATTTTGCAGCCACAAAAAAAGCCTGAAGCAGAAGCTCAGGCCATGGCCTTGTCCAGTTCAATGTTGTGATTATCAAACTCATTTTCTGATCACAGAACTTACTGAATTCTTCACTGTAATACTTTGTCCCCTTCCTCAACACTTCGTTCCAGCTCAGATTTCTCAGAGCAACGAATGAAGAAAACTGTGCTTGGCGATCTTGTTCAGGATCAAGAAGCTTTGGTGAGCCATTTTTCTGAAACACTGGATTCTCAAAGTCTTGGTAGAGTGACTGGTTTATGATTGCTTCTAAATGGTACAGCACTGCTTTTGAGTACCTGAAATTTAATGAAAGTTTATGAGACTGCAGGATCAAATTCAGGTTATCCATTAGACTTTTGTCTGTCTCTTCAATCTGTCCGATAAGGGTTTTGCAGAATTGCTTCACTGACAATCTTGCTTCTGATACAATCTGCAAGAAACCTTCCACCATTACCTCCTCACTAACTGGCATCAAGTTTTCCCCATTCCCATCAATGGATTTCCCTTTCTTGGGAAAAGTTCCTAGCTTTTCTTGAACATTGGAGTCCTTGCTTGCTTGCCTTAAAGCCCTCTTCAGCTCTTCACAGTATCTTTCTAAGTACTCAAGCTTCTGCTTTAGCTCCCCTAATGAGTTTTTCATCTCTGCAACTTCCATTAAAGCTGCTTCTTTGTTCTCATTTGCTTCTAACAATTCCCTCCTCAATGTCTCAATTGACATCATTCCAAATTCCTTGTGGGAAACCTCCTCAGATTCTGTCCGGGTAGGCGAATTCTGATCATTCTTGTGCTTCTTCTTTAGCCGCGGAAACAACCAAGACATAACTCCCTTGTTCTTTGGCTGTGGATGGAGGGACGAGTGAGAGTCCGTCAATGGCATAACAATGTTTGAATTCTTGTTGATGCTCGTAACCTTCTCGGGTTCGGATGCTACGATTGCAGGCTTATATGATGCCTGTTTGAAGTCTCCTAAACCATTTCTTCTTCTTGACTTGTAGTATTCTGTGACAGGTGATGTTTGGAGGACTGTAATTTGGTTTGCAGATGAGCCAGCGACTGATTTTTGATCATCAGTGGTATAATTGTGGGATTCCAGAGCAGCAAAACCGGGAGAAAATATTTTCCTGGAAACTGGATTTTCCTTCTTGTGATCTGATAAGGCAGTTTCATTCCCACTTCCTCCTTCAAATCCATATTCATCCCAGCTTTCTGATAATGTTCTATTCCTTGTTGTGGTTTGCTGATAACCCGGTAAGGATTCGTCTTCGTAACTCTGTAAGTACTTCCAAAAAGTTAATAAATCTTTTCTTCAACATAAAAACCCAGAAACTATGTTTGAGAATCTCACTTGAATATGAACAAACCTTTTGATTTTGATCAAAAATAAGACATACCCAGTTCATGAAAGTTGAAGGAATTAATTAATGTACCATGAAACTGAAAAAGAGCTTATCTAAGTAGTGAGAGAAACAGTAAAGTTCTGATTTTGATTAATGAATTGTATTAAACATAATCAAAGTTCTGATATAGTACTATTTTTAAAAAAAGCATTCTACAAGGTTTAAACCGTGTAGAGAAAACTAACATGGTATCTGTGTAAAAACACACAATGTAGATGATTACCATAAACAATCAAGAAAATAAAGCCTAAATGTCTCACCCATGATTAACTTAGAAACTCATATTCCAGGTAGAATGTTTTTAAAACCTAAATATACTACAGTAAATTATCAACTGAAAGAAAAAAAAAAAAAATCAAAACATGAGACCCCCAGAGAAATGTAAACTCACAGGAGTGAAAACAGGATAATCTTGCGCAGATAACTGAGAAACAGGGCGTGAAACAGGTGAAGAAGATGGGTATCTTAGATTTGCAGGGCTCGTCCCTTGTATAAGAGCTGCATGAAGAGCTCGAAGCTCCACTGCTTTGGCAATGGCGGCCTGTATCTCCTTCCTACTCACTTCATTATTGCTGGTATCGCCGTGAATGTTATTCTCTTCGGTGCTGCTATTGCCGTTGCTTTGAAAGATTTGAGAGACAACAGTGCCGGCCGCCATGACCGGGAAGATAGAGAAGAAGAAGAAACAGAGCAGCACAAACAAAACTAGAGAATAAAACGAAGTGCTGATGAAATTTCAATCAGAAAAGGGGAAAAAAAAAAAAAGGAACGGAGAAGATTAGCAGATGGGTATCTAACGGTTGGATTTCCAACGCAGAGTTGAAGATTATAGATATCTCGTGCAGAATCTTGGAGGACCAGAAGCTAGAGAGAGAAAAAGAAAACAGAGAGGGAGAAATGAATGTTTGTCTGTTTTCTCAGAATGGTTGAGAGAATGAGAACATGTGAAGCAGAGAAATTAAAGAAAAGAACCGGACAGAGAGGGAGAAGAGTAGTTTTTTTTTTTTTTTTTAACTCAGTATATAAAAAATAAAATAAATTTAATTCAATTTAATTAATTTATTGATTTACCATAATACCCTCAATTTCCCAAAAGAAAGCACAACAATTTTCTCAACACCCAAACAGGGTGTTAAGTGGTATACCATGATTGCTTTCGGTACACTATGCCACCACCACTATTATGCCAAAAAGATTTGGTATTATTTTTTGACTTTTTATATATATATATATATAAAATAATAATAATTATGTTATAATACTTATCTAATCTAATCATACAAGTGGGTTGTATGTTTGGATCAAGATTTTTGCTGGGTCATGCTTTTTATATATATATATATATATATATATTATATGTATATATTATGCAATTTTAACTCATAGTTGGTTGCTTCATATTTTTTTCTTGGTTTAGGTTTGGAACTTTGACATAATCTATCAAAATACAATCACTTATGTTATAGCTTACTCTTTTTGTAACGAATATCTCACTGAATTACTTGTAAAATAATTATTTAATTATCAATATATATATATATATATATAAACACTATCATACAACTTCCATGTGTTTTAGAGAGTGGAGCTCCCATTACCTTATCATTCAAAAAAAACAGGGAGAGAAAACAAGGATAAGATATTTGACACAGACAAGCCTTTTCATTGAGTAGTTCGAAGAAAGGTGAGGAAACAATCAAAGTGTTGAAGTGGAAATCAATTGCATTTGGAATAATCTTTTCTTTCATACATACATACATACATATATATATATATATATTATATGGGGGGGGGGGGTATATACACAAGTATAAACAGTATCCTGCTGATATCAAAATTACCCATAAACGAAATTATTGATTTAACCATTTTAAAAAAGATTTTTTTTGAAGTATGGATTAGGGCAATTTTGTCAAGTGAAAATTCTGAATTGTCCAAAGAAACAGAGGTGCGGGTGGGGGGAGGGGGAGGGGGAGGGGGGACGGAGACATCCGACACCTTCAATACTCTCATCGTCTTCTCTCTTTCAAATTTAAAGAATGAATCTAAGTGAGGCAAAATGCCGCAGTGGGGACCTAAAAAAAAAGGGGGAAGAGTCCCTTCGCTAATTCTTAAACTTACAAGAATGCCCATTAAATTAATGACATATTCAACATTTAGTTACAAAATTAAACAATCGTAATGGAATTCCAAGTATGATTAGTGGGATTTTTTTTTTTAACCTTCCAAGCTAACCAAACCCACAAAAAAAGCAAAAGCTTGGTTTGTCAAACCCCCCCACATGCAAAAAGTGCTTAGCCAATTCAAATCACACGAGATTTGCACTAAACTAATGTTTTAACCAATAGATTATTCGAGGGTGATTCACCAAAAACATTTTCTAATCTTAAATATAATTATAAAATTATCATTGTATTTTATTTTATTATCAAAAAATACACTTTATCTCAACTTTAACAACGTAGTCATATACCCATCTTAGTAAAGTTATCAATTTTATATTTATTTTTAAAACATTAATATTAGTAGTTAAAAAGAGTTACTTTTGTAATAAAATAAAATATAATGATAATTTCTTAATTACATATAATTTTACTGTTAAAGATAATTAGAAATTAATGAAGGATTAGGTGAGATTTAGCAAGTAAGATATGGAGCCAAAGGGTTAGGTTTTGTGTTAACGACTTCAATTTTTAATTCCATTACATGTCTGGTTTGGTTAAATAAGGAGACAGCATTTAATTTTCAAATGTAAAAATTAAAAATGGGTCCATTTGTTTTCTGTATATATACATAAGAGTATTGCTTTGTTGAGGTAAAGATAAATACGAGGTCGTTTTCATTACGAGCTGAGAAGAAACAATGGGAGATGGGTTTTTGGTGTCTTTTCCCCCGTACACGAGGGAATAAAACAGTAAATAGCAAATGCATACAGTTCATATACATATATATATATATAGATATCTGCATACTATTTATATGGGTTTATATAATTAAAACCAGAAAATCCGAAATAAAATCATTTCAGTACTTGGGTAGTACAATGTCGAGTTTATTTCAAGTATTCTATTCCAATTTTTTTATAATCCCAACAAGTTGAAAAGCAGAAGAAGATGTTTATGCATGCTCTTGGTGAGTTTCCTCCTCGTATAGTGGTTTGGTTTTGTCGTAATTGATTGTATGTTGGTAAAAAGTAGATTCTACCTCAGACTGCGTACTACGAAAACTCTGCCTCCTTCAACTCGGCGTTATGATAATTGTAAAGAAGGGTTTCTCATATTCTTATATGCTATAAATCTATATATATATATATATATTTGCATAAAGGGTGTGTACGTACGTGCAATAGAAAAATATATATTCTAACAATTACTTACATGTACTTGAGATATGTCAAATGTATTTACTTTTCACAGTTTCAACAATTTTAGCTGAGCAAATAATTGAACCACATTAATGACATTTGTCTCAAAGTGAAACTATATATATATATATATATATATATGCATAGAAATTAAACACCCACATAAGAAAAATTATTGCTAATCACAAAAACCAATAATTGCTAGCTTTATTAACATATATATATACATATTCTGTTTGTTATGTTGCAGAGATTAACAGGCTATTTTTGGTAAATAAATCCAAGTGCATAGACGTCTAAATGAAATGGAAAAAAAAAAAAAAAAAGAAAAAAAAAACTTGATGGGACTAAAATTTCCAAACTGTACAAAATTCTGAAGAACCTTCACATGCTTTTGTTATATGCTGGACAGGACAAAATTAATTTGGTGAGTGGACTCACCGATAAGAGACAGTGTGATTTTCTTGAGGGATTGTAATTAACATATTTAGAGTTTCGCGAATGTATTAATTTATATATTATTTTATCGGTGGATATAATTGGGATTTATTTATTTATTTTTTAATTTAATAAATGTAAGTATTTGGATAAACAAAGAAGTAAATGACACTTGGACAAGAATGTGCGGTTAGGTCATTCGTGTTGAATTTTGCTTCTCCTGCTCTATTTGACTGGTCAAATAATTAAATTTAAAACCCATTTTAATTATGTAGCTTCAAATTTCTTTTTATGCTGTCTAATATTGAGATGTTAAATATGTACTCGGGCCTTGGGCCCACTGTGGGTTCGGATAATGGGCCTAGTTTAAAGGCCCACTACAATTCGCAAAAAAGGCGCCGGCACGGAAACTGAATTATTAAAACTGCTGGATTCTACACGGATCGTGATCCTCTCCTCCCCGTGAAACAATATAGACCGTCGATCACTTGTAAATCTACGGCTGTGAAAGTTCGGAAAAAGCCAGAACAAAAGTTTACCCGCCTGAACGCAGAATTTTCGTTGGACAATTCGGTCGAGCACGAGGATCGTTGATATAACAATTCATATCGGTCGTCGATATGATGGACAATCAACGGTGAAGATTTAATATCTCAAAGAAACCCTCCAAATTGACGCGGAAGTTTTAAAATCCAGCCTCTGTATATAATCCCGAACAATCCGGCTTTCCTCATCGCTCCAAAAATTAGTAGTAGCTGATCCTTCTCATTTTCTCAAGAAACAAACAGTTTGTAGTCGCCTTCATTTTTTTTTTTTTTTTTTTTATTGTTCTTTCAAAATGGCTCGCACCAAGCAGACCGCTAGGAAGTCCACCGGAGGCAAGGCGCCGAGGAAGCAACTAGCGACAAAGGCTGCCCGTAAGTCAGCTCCCGCCACTGGAGGAGTGAAGAAGCCCCACCGTTTTAGGCCAGGAACCGTGGCCTTGAGAGAGATCAGAAAGTACCAGAAGAGCACAGAGCTTCTGATCAGGAAGTTGCCGTTCCAGAGGTTGGTGAGGGAAATCGCTCAGGATTTCAAGACGGATCTGAGGTTCCAGAGCAGCGCTGTCGCGGCTCTTCAGGAAGCCGCAGAGGCTTACCTTGTCGGACTCTTTGAGGATACTAACCTCTGCGCCATTCACGCCAAGAGAGTAACTATAATGCCCAAGGATATTCAGCTTGCTAGAAGGATCAGAGGAGAGAGGGCTTAAGTTTTTTATGTATGTCTTGATTTTCTCGACCACGCTTGTTTGGTGGGTGTAATGGAAATGTAAACCATTTGAAATGTGATGAATGCAAATTATAATAATTTTTAAAATCTATAAATAATGTAAGGAGTTTAAGAAAAAACCAAATATGTGAAATGAGTGGAAGATGTTCTCCCGCCCGAGTGGAAGAGTCTGGTTGGCTGCTCTTATTTCCATGAAATCTTAAATCAACGACGTAAGGCATTCAAAAATCACAGGAAAACTTCAAAATCCTCGCTGAAACTTATAACACACCAGCGATCTAGTCGAAGTTTTCATTTTTCTTTCTCATTTTGGACTTGGTCGTTTGTTTTTTTTCTTGAACTAACGGAAACGGCTCGTACGAAGCAGACCGCTAGGAAGTCTACCGGAGGCAGGGCACCTGGTGACGAAAGCTGCTCGTAAATCGTTCCAGCCACCGGATGAGTGAAGAAGACTCACGGTTTCAGGCCAGGGACCGTGGCGTTGAGGGAGATAAGAAAGTATCAGAAGAGCACTGAGCTGCTGATAAGGAAGCTTCCGTTCCAGAGGCTGGCGAGAGAAATCGCTCCGGAGGCTTACCTTGTCGGTCTCTTCGAAGTATCTACCTTTGCACCATTCACGCCAAGAGAGTCACCATCATGCCTAAGGATATCCAAGGAGAGAGGCTTTACATTATATTACGTATTCCTCCCATACATGTCTTCACTTCCTCGGATTTGGCTGCCTTCTATTGCCTCTTTTGGAGATTTAATCATTTGTGCACAAAGGAACAAATAAGAGTTACTTGGGTAACTAGAAAATAGCATTCACCTATTTCCCAAATACACTGATCGTCGAACCGTACAAATCCAATTTTATTTCTGGCTGCTCACAATTAATAATGACATCACTAACAATCAATATTCTGAAACACCAGAATTGAAGGGCTTCTTTAAGTTCCTCACAGGCTGACCCACAACTGAAAACCTTGAACTAGGAACTTATGTACTCGACTGTGTTTTGTTTCAAAAGATGTTCTTCAATTTACTGATGCTTTCTTCTGGGAGACCATGAGCAATGCTGAATCCTGAAACCATCAATTCTCATTCAGTCACTGGGTTAGCCCATTTATATTAATACAACTCATAATCTAACAAGACATGTATTTACACGACTGAACAATAAGCCCCGATTTCTAACTTGTCCTTAGCATTGACATATATGCTTCTTTTAGCTCCATTCAATATATAAGTAATGGTTTATGAGCCGAAAACATAAAAAGAAACATTATTGATAATTAATATATAAGGAGACAGATGGCCTTGTCTAAGTGTATTTTAACTTCAATTAGATGATACTCCATTTTCATTCTTGTTCGACTGAGAACTCTATCCGATAGATCTTTTAGATGGAAATTAACCGCAAGGAATTCAGTTTGGCCTTCACTACTAGATTCTATATTCCAACGGTTAGCATATGAAAATGACATATTCAACATCATATTTTCTTCTCACTTGATTTTAGCTCATGACAGGAATTAGTTGTTTAGGACGCCGACTATGACGAAAATACAGCAAAATTGATCATAAAAACGAAAATACCTTTGTCCCAGCTACGACAGTGCTGTTGAGTGGATGAGCAGCACATGCAGTAACACCTTTAGACAATGGGATAAATCTATTTTGCTTACTTGGCTGGTTCGTTTCAGCTGTGTTCTGGAAATCCTCACTACAAACAAAAATCGATTCATCTGAGCAAAAATTTAGAAAGACAAGGACGGTACAATCACATGTAGGCAGACATGCATGCATGCTAATCTGTCCAATGTTCATGAGTGCACCAGAACAATAGATTTGCAGCTGAGCAGCTGGTGGAACATCTAAAAGGTCTACAAAAACCACCTATAAGACACCCATGATTATATATTGCATATTTTTATTTATGCAAATTTATAAAGTCAACAAGGTCACGACAAAATTTTGCCACGATAGAAATCTCTTACTTATAGTTCACATGGCAGGGGGAGCTGGTGCTTGGGTAGAAATCTAACATGTGAATGCCACTGTCAGATGGTGATCCAACCACATAGACCTGTATTACAAGAGATAATGTTATGTTATATCTGGTGAACATATCATCTTGGTGGTTTCCAGAGAAATTGCTACAGCTACCACGAAATGCAATAATGTCAACACATTCTAAGACATGCATTATCTGACAGCATGGGAGGAATCGGGTGATATTCATGTCCCAGTATGTCCGGCAGAAAAATGGTTTTCTTCTAAGGATGCATAAGAATTCTATATAAGCTGATTAAACAATAATGGAATAATTAAAACCTAGCAGAAAAATGTCAAACTGATACACACAGATCTTACAGAATTCGTCGGTAGCCATGATGGTTTTCTCAAGTATAACATATCAGTTGAAGTGTTGGAACCATTCCTGGTCAGTCCAAGATCAATTAGAGTTCAATGTTTTTAATACTGTAAAAAAATACACTCATCAAAAGAAAATTATTGGACACGAATTACTAGAGCTTAGAGCTTCTTTACTAAACTAGATAACTCTTTGACTTGTTTGCACTTTACTTACAACCAGGCTGGAGGAGGGCAATGAACGTGGGTTACTTGGAAATTATGCATGTCCAAAACACCTGACCTGTATCATGGGCACATGACAGAACAAAATACATAAATACTAAATAAAGTAGAATCAGAAAACTGGCAAATAACTCAAATATTTTATAAAATCATCTACGAACCAGTCCACTCCTAGAAAAAAGAATTAATCCATTAATGTCAGCATTTGTTGCTCCTACGACTTTAACTTTCAAAAAATTAGTTAGCTAATTAATTTATTCAACAATAATCTATTCAGGAAACTATAAACAAAAGAACTGCAAGAGCTGTAAAAGTTTCGCTTATTCCCAAGTTTTCCAAACAAGAAAAAACAAAAGGAGTCGTTTATTTCAAATCAAAGCATTTTTTCTTCCTCCCTACACAGAAGATAAACTCCCTGCTGGTAGTTAGATATCCAAGTGATGAGATACATAAGGATGTTCCGATAAAGACCTCATGACTCATAGGACATAATATTTCATTATGATGGGAAAAAAGAGGTAGCTCATCATGAAACGAAATCTTATTTCTAGGAAATATAGTCTGCAGTAGATCTTATTTGATAGGCAGAAAATGGAGCAGAAATTATATGCTATAAAGTAATTGTGAAGAAAGAATTAACAAGTTCAAGATGTAGGAACTTGAACAGACAAAAAAAGTCTCAGACTTCATTAATTTCTTAACGTACCAACCATCGTCAAGGTGAAATGCCAATTGGTATGGACAAGATGGGTTGAGGTTAATGGAGTGTATCTCCTTTGCAACAATTTCTGATTGTGCCTGCTTGATGAAGAAAGTCAATTGCCAAGCAAATGTTGAAAAATTTCCGAAGGCATTCATTACCTAGACATGCTAGAAAACAGAAATCTCTTTTGTAGCTGGATATGAATTCTTCAGAACCGCAGTTGCTCATTTTAGGGACAAAACCAACCAAAAATGGCATTAGAACAACCAAGCATACCTTTAAAGATTCAATTTCCCCCAGCATTGATGCTAACTTCAAAGATGTCAAAGGTGGATGGCGAAACTGAATGGCCAAAAAATCAGAAAATAAAAAAGGTGAATGAAAAGTCTGATGACATTGCACATTTGTTTCCAGCGTTATGAAGCAGAAGAGAGCATGGAACCCGTAAACAATTTGTCCCTGTTATAGAAACTATAGTTTTCCTAGTAATTTCATAATTAAACCCAGCTTTTACATTGTAAGTTTTGTAGAAAATTGTAAATTCAAATAAGAACAACTATTTTACCACTTTATTGCTTTGGAAAGCTGTGGACGTTCTTCCACCACGAAGATCCCACACGTGAACTATCCCATCCTTACCACCCCCAAAGATTATCTGCAATAACCAAACAAACTTTTGATGAAAACATATTGCTAAAGAAATATAGAAGAGATGGTAACTGAAACACTAACCAAATCAAACTGATGGGTTATCAATATTCTTGTGAGTCATATTTATATCTTTTCGCTCTTTTACCAGAGCTCTTGCTCAATGACAATGGGAAAAACAAAAAAAAATATCCATTATAAGATTGATAAAAGTAGCCTGGCAATCTAGTATGACTACAATATTCTTTACTTAAACTCACATTGCACCCTTTACCATCTGACTTCCCTAGGCTGATGTTTATCCCAGAAATCTTTGTGAAGAGATTTCAGTACAAATGTCAGTTTTTCTTGACTCTCATCAATAGTCTGACTTTGTTACTATTTAGAAGACAGATCCACTTTGCAAATGCTATTAAGCAGCTGTAAAATGCCTGTTGGATACATTAAGGTTCTCCAACGTAGGACCAAAATCCACAGAGGTGTGAATCTCTATTCCTATTACATATAAGAAGAAAACACAGAGAACCTTTATCAACTTTTGAATTACTCACCTGATTATCTACACTTATTTGTATACTGTTGATAGTGCTAGGAGAAACAGTTGTCAGCTCAATACATGGAAATACGTTCATTCTTCGGTCCCACACATTTACTATGCCAAGCGTATCAGAAGCTATCATCCTAAAAAATGAAACATTCAGAATGACATAAACATCCCATGTTATGCATGCAATTTTAACTTCAAGATCCATGCATCAAACTGAACTTTAGACAATTAAAAAGGTACTAGTATATATACTCCTCTACTACTTCAAGAAAACAGATAATCCAGACTTTCTTTTTTAGCAAGTGAAAGAAATAAAAAAATAGAAGTCAATATCTTTTATCATTCACCAACCTTGAACCATCAATTGTGGTAAAGGCTATATCACATAGACCTCTACGAATGTCAGATCCAAAAATAGAAGTAATGCTTCCTGCTCGCAACACCTGAAACGATAAAGAAAAAATATTTATATTCATTAACAATAAAAAAAACGAGTCATGAAATCAGAAAATTCATGAAAAGATACGAAGAAAGTCAATAATACCTGAACAATGAAGAAATGAATGAAAATCTACTCTAAACTCTATCCTTCTTAATTATTTCCCTCTTTTCTCTCTTCCCACTCTCTTCCTACTCCTACCTCTGCTGTTAATCTCTCTAATCTACCTCTTTCAGCCTAAAACTCCTTAAAAACTACATCAAAACCTGCTTCTCAGCTGCTGTTAGACAACAGGTTTCTGACACCAATCAGCTAGGGATTGACCTCTATCTGAATGTCTAATTTAAAAAAAAAAAACTCAGTTTTATGCATTTTTTATTCAAATCTATGGGGAAAACTCTTGTTTTTTTAATTAAGGCACATAATACAAATACGTATATCTTCATCCACATTTATTGGTAAATTCATGTTGGCCCTACCCTCTAATGCTACAGACTTCCAAATTTCCTGACCAGCTGTATTCCAGAAGTTCTCAGTCTTATGCAGCAGATAATACACATTTATGCAATGTTCCGTGAGACTTAATTAACACATGCATATAGGCAATGTTTTTACTTAATTAACAAGTGTAATTTGATAAACTAACAGATGATAGAATGTGATCTTTCTTTCAGAGGCTAAAGCAACTACTAAGAAGGTGAATGACAAGCGATTCAAGTACCCAGTTTCACTTATCCACACCCATTATACCAAGTTTCAATTTTTCATGCATGGCCTTTTCCTAGTTCAATGTTCTTGAGCAGTTTAAATAATTGAACAAAGCCACTATCACGTGAAGGAAGTTGTAAAAGACATCCCTAAATCCCTTCATTCAGATGCCTTCAAACTTAAAGAACAAGAGATCTTCAACTCAGTATAACCTTAGCTATTAGAAAAGGTGGCAGATCTACAAATTCTAGTAGTCATGCTTGTAAAACACTAGGTTTGCATCAACAGAGTAGTAACTTAAAGAGGAAATCAGAACCATATGTAAAATGCGAGAACCAAAAGGAACTTACTTCAATCGGTTTGATAGAAAAATATCCAATGTCAAAGATGAGCACCTTATTACTTTCCGTTGATGCGCAAGCAACCTAATGCAAGAAAAAAAAAAGAAAATGAGAAGAAGTATCTTAAGGCTAGAAATCTAATATTGTGTGAGAAAGGGATTAGAAGTTGATGATAGCAAATTTATAACTCCAACAAGCACAAAGATATAACTATAACTAACATAAAGAAGAAGACAGAATATTTTATTGGCTACATATTCATGTGATTTAGACAACTCATTCTATAAAGCCGTATTGTACAATCAAAATATTGTTGCAGGGAATCGAAGTACTAAGATCTAACTTAATTTTGTTCACAGCTCACAAATATAAGCTACTTTCTAAACCTACACATTAGATAAACCAGTTCGTACAAATTCATCACTGATTATATAAAAAACACAAACCTCATCTTGGTTTGCTGGATTCCATCTAACAGCATCAAGATTTTGATTCAAGGAAGTATGTAGGACATGTTTACTTTCATCTTCCCCCAAGCCTACTTCAAGAGAAATAATAGAAAGATAAAGAATTTTACCTAAATAATAAAAACCTATTAAGCCAAAAAAAACATAATGAAAAGAACATAAAAGTATACATATCTGAAGGTTAAAACACATGCCTTAACCCAAAATAAAATTTAACAGCATCTTGGTGCGTGTATCTTACATCCCTAAAGAGACAGACAAAATTGGAAGGGAAAAAAAAAGAATAGAGACTAACTTACAAAAATTGCATGCATGGACAGATGAGGAATGAAATACCCACTTTATGGGTCACTTTTGTCCAGCAGACAAATGTTGGAAAATGCAATACAAAATGAGTTTCATAAGCTTAAACTATCAACACTACCACAAGCTCTAGAAAGATATATACTAATTGATTCATGGTAGGTGGAGAAGGAATCTACATGAGAAAGCAGCAAAAGAATGATTGAACGAGGGCCTCTTGTTCGCAAGCCCAGACCGCCAGTAAATGGAATGACTGATACATTCTCCGCAATAAATGTATGCCCATGGAAAAGAATATCAAGGTACGGTCATCTTACACTAACACATGTGTAGGCACACTTGCCCGATTGATAAATCCTCGCACTCGTGGTATTTCTGAATAAATTGAAGTTAATCTGACATGCAAGCAGCTGATTTATTAAGACTACTTCATCTAGAAGCTTTTACTGATAACTTCTATTAGCATACGTGCATCATTTCTCTCAGAACATGCATTGCCCATGGAAAAGAATATCCAGACCCAGTCATCTTCGAGTAACACATGTTGGCAGACACACTTCAACTATTGATAAATCCCAGGACAGTGGTATTTATAAATAAATTGAAGTTATTTTGACAAGCAGGCAGTTGATATATTAGCGCTACTGCATCTAGCAATTTTTACTGATAATTCCAATTTGTATGTGTACATCACCCATGTTAGAAAATTCAGAGAAACAAACAGTCAAAAATCCCTGTCGTGTAACTTAAAACAATCTGCACAAAGGACGGACATGTTAACATTCAAACAGATATAAATCCATACACTTGGGCCAAGAAATTTGCCAGGGGAAGTTTACTCGTTCTGATAAAGGAACTTACATTTCAAGGAATCATTACTCTGGCAATATAGGGCTTCAAAATCATGCACTGTTAAGCACCCAGATTTTGTCACAGACACCAAGTAAACTCCCTGTGAAAGAAATCTAGAACATAAGGAATGATAGGAAGTGAAGGCAAATAACCACAGGAGTTAGACTTCATGGAAATTAAAGTACTCTTTCTTTTGATCAATTCCATGAAATGAAATAACACAATCAAGCACCAGGAGAGATAAGAAACAAAAAGAAGAAAAAATAAAATTTAAGTCCTTTTCCCTATTAACAGTATCTGAACTATACATAAGTAAAACATAGTACACCAAATCTTAAGTTCACTAGAACCGGTTGCACAAAACGTGCCAGTATTACCATCAAAAGCTCCTGAAAGAAATCATCGAGGACAGGGTTAGAGTTAAAGCATTCAAATTTTAAATTGCGATTTGAAGTGTTGGCCACCTCAATTCTTATTCCAAAACCTCTCTATTTGACAAAAAAATCGCTAACCAATTGAGCAATAAATTTGTGACACACCTTTATGAACAGAAAATTTTAACAAGACAATCATGTCTATCATCAGATTCTTTTATAAGCTCTCCATCTTACAATACCTGGAAGTCCCCTTATATAGCTTATTTTAAAAGGTCAAAATCTTCTTTTCAAGACACTAGTTCCTTGGTAATGACAATCCTAAATGCTAGATAACATACTCATAGCAAAAAGTTTATTCTAAAATTTGTTTTCATCCATAATTAATAGCTCTAAGAAATTTGACTCAGAAGATATCTTTCAGACGATAGTTTTACCTAACACAGCCTATTTGAAGTTCTCTCTAAGCTACCATTATTGGACATTCCACAAAATAAAAGGGAAATATCTAGTTGAATCTTCATGTTTATCCTAGATCACGAGATCATTGACAAGGAGGGAAAAACTACTTAAATGAAGTGAAAGAGAAACCAATCCTAAGACAGAGAGTGTTGACAAAATTGAAGAACACGCATGACAAAGTAAAATAGCATGGTGAGAAAGACAAACTGATGCATTAAGAATAGTCCATTATTCACCTTGTTGTCAAAGTTCACTGCAGAGATACCCCGTCTGAAAACAAATCACACCAACCTTAGCATCATCAATCAAAGGAAGATAAATATGTTACTCATACAATCAAGCCGTTCGTCAAAAATGTTTCTTATGTTTCTTGCTGGGAAAATGTCTGACAAGGAGAGAGAAAGCCTTTGTACAAGCAACAAACATTACCACCAAGAAACTAACAGAATGGAATATTAGAATAATGCATGCGGCTGATATTTGAGAATAGTTTAGAAAGAAGTGAGCAATAGAGAAAATAATATTATCTATGATAGCAAAAATAAAAAACTTAATGGCTAAAAATTTTTTGGTTGAACTAATTTTACATTATGTGAACAAGTTCTGTAAAACCTGGATTCAATCTGTCAAGTAAATTGTATTTGAAGGAACAAATTAAGTTCAACAAGAAAAATATGTTCCTCGCCCTTTAAAGTACCCAGTTATGTAGAAACCAGGATGATTGGCCTGTTAGGTTCAATTTCCATTTAGTTTCTACCTTATTATTCACTTCGTTATTAGTCTAATTCTTTTAGCTAGAATTCTATCGTAATTTCCATGTTTGCAAACTCATACTCCAATTGCTATTCCTGTAAACACACCTCCAGATAGTTGAATTCTAAACAAAGCTGATTCAGTCATCAACCACAATATAATTCAACATATCAAAATTAGTCTAGTAATTAGCTGACAGTAATAAGCTGAAGACATGGAAACCTATGCAAAAAGAAGGGTTAATATACCATATTAAGAAATTAGTATCAAACTCTGTTTACAGTTAAATGAAAAGAAAAATGCGAGAAAAGACACCGACTTAATAAAAGGGCCTCCCGTATTTCCATCTGTAGCTAGCCGAGTCTTCTGCAAAACAATGAATAAAAAGGCTGACAAAAAAAAAACATCAAATTCCATAGAAAAAAGAAGACCAGGAAGTACAACACATCGAGCTGCAATACAAATCATTTACGTGTGTCGGACACTTCCGTCCACCAATGTGATAAAAATGGTTAAACACCCCAATCTGTTCACAAGAAAACGAAAACAAACAAAATGTTAAACCAACCAAAAAGCAATTGCACATTAACCACGAATTAACAAAAAAGTGATGACCTCGGAATACGATTGCATCAGCAAACCAGAGAGATTGTGTCGATACTCGGAGACGATCCTGCCGGTCAGCTCAATTGTGCTCCATATCCATGGCGAAATCCTTTAAGTCCACAACATGCAATAGAGTTAAACAAACAATTAAAACGCTTTAAAGACGTAAAGGAGACACACCTCCGTTTAGGTTTAGGGTTTTCTGGCTGACACTTGACGGGGACCAAGTACTTCTCCATGGCACGAAGAAAAACCACACAATGCACTGTCAACTGTTGCCTCCCCCTTTTTCTACTTCGCCTTCAATATTCCCGCCATTATAAACTACGCTAACCTGCGCAGATTGCTCAGAGTGCCTGATCATCGCTGATGGGCCGGGCCCGAGAACCTTTTATACACATTAAACTTTATTTGGAGATTTTCAAAGCATTCCCTGATCTAGAGTCGATTCAATTTAAAACTCATTTAACCATAATTTTAAGATTTAATTATACCAGAAAATATTAATAATTTTCAGACGTACTCTGTGCAAGCTTAAAACAAGGACAGAGATTGAAAAGATGAATCAATAGATCATGCAAGAGAAAGTCCAATTGGCAATTAGGTTTCCATACACTTTCATCTGATTCCCCTAAATCGCTCGAGCACCCAAAGCACAAGAACCTACGGGAACAAATATTTTACAGCAAATAACCATAAGCAATAGATCGATTACATTTCACAGAAAAGATCGCCGCGAATACAATAATTTAAGCCCTCTCCCCTCTAATCCTCCTTGCAAGCTGAATATCCTTAGGCATGATGGTGACTCTCTTAGCGTGAATGGCGCAGAGGTTGGTGTCCTCAAAGAGACCAACAAGATAAGCCTCAGCGGCCTCCTGGAGAGCGGCGACCGCGCTGCTTTGGAATCTGAGATCGGTCTTGAAATCCTGAGCGATTTCTCTCACAAGCCTCTGAAACGGAAGCTTTCTTATGAGCAGCTCCGTGCTCTTCTGGTACTTCCTGATCTCTCTCAAAGCGACCGTCCCTGGCCTGAAACGGTGGGGCTTCTTCACTCCTCCGGTGGCGGGGGCTGATTTACGGGCAGCCTTGGTGGCCAACTGCTTGCGAGGAGCTTTTCCTCCTGTAGACTTTCTGGCTGTCTGCTTCGTACGAGCCATATCGAATAAAGAATACAGGACGATTAAGTGCTTTGTTTGCGAGAAAGTGAGAACTGGAAAGAGTAGAAGTAGATTGTGAGGGAGATGAGATGAAGGATGATGCTTAGCGTGTATATATATAGAGGAAAAAGAACGGGGGAAAGTTCAAATTTTTGGGTTTCTTCCAATCGCGCTAGAACCAGTAAATTGTGAGTCGTTGATTTGAAACTTCATCGACGGATACGAGGACATCTAATAAGCGATCCGCGTGAATTGCAAGCGACCAGTAGCATTACTTTATTTCTATTTATGTTTTCTTTTAATAAAATTTTGGCGTGAAATGCGAGCCGTTGATTTCCTACGCCCCGCTGATTAGCTAGAACGGAAAGTAGGTTACCAGCGATTGCAAGTTTGGTGCTAAATCAAGATATTAATTATTTGGATTTAATTTTTGTTATTTTTTATTTTAATAAATTATCAAATTTAAATTTTGTTAAAATAAATATCTACGATATTTTTTTAATTTTATGAATTTTTTAAAAGTAAAAATACTTCAACTTTTATTAATATATATATATGATCGATTCATTTGATTAAAAATAAAATTACAAAAATAGTTATTAATGGCGACTTTATTAATTGTTCACAAATTATAGATAAGAATGTAATGAGAATGATTTAAGCAAAAAATAATTTAATTAAAGTAAACTTTTATCTTATTATTCTTATACCAAATGATACTATATGTATAAATATAGAACTGAAAATATAAATGAAAAACAATTAATTGAAAAATAAATTTATATTATAACTAAATAATTAAATTCTATAATCGTAATAATAATATAATATAATTTTAGAAAAATATTTGATCCAATAATTAAAAAAAAAACTCTATTTATTGATATTAATTATGTAAATACAACACAAATATAATAGATATTTTCATTCAAGTTATTTATATTGTGATTTTTATTTGCATAATATATAGAACATGTATATAATTAAATTTGAACTAATAAGCATCTTATTTATAATTATAATTAAATTCATTAAAAAAAAATTGATGAAAATAAAACAGAATAATTGATCCCACTTGCCAGCTGTCATTAGTATTACCACAATAAAACAGTATTAAGCTTCTCATTCCAAACATCAAGAAATTTAAACCAAATTCTAATTCTCAATCAAATCTGAGCTGCAACTGATTAGGTTCTCCAATTCGTGCAATTAACCATTCAACCAAACAGTCAAACGAAGTCATTCCAGGGAATTAAAGCGAGGAAGATCAATCCGGAGATTTTGAGGAAAATTTTCCGATTAGATTTAAGATTTCCTTCTATTAAAATCTGATTTAACCAAATGGATTCATTACTCTCAACAGCAATCTACTTGAGCAATCATTTTACAAACACTAAAACAGAGCACAATTTAAAAAAACTATAGATCAACCACAACAACTTAAGCCCTCTCTCCTCTAATCCTCCTGGCAAGCTGGATATCCTTAGGCATGATGGTGACTCTCTTGGCGTGAATAGCGCAGAGGTTTGTGTCCTCAAAAAGTCCGACAAGATAAGCCTCCGCGGCCTCCTGAAGAGCGGCGACGGCGCTGCTTTGGAACCTCAGATCGGTCTTGAAATCCTGAGCGATTTCTCTCACCAGCCTCTGGAACGGCAGCTTTCTGATGAGCAGCTCCGTGCTCTTCTGGTACTTCCTGATTTCTCTGAGGGCGACAGTTCCGGGCCTGAAACGGTGGGGCTTCTTAACTCCTCCGGTGGCGGGGGCGGACTTACGAGCAGCCTTGGTAGCCAGTTGCTTGCGAGGGGCCTTGCCTCCGGTAGACTTTCTGGCTGTTTGCTTGGTACGAGCCATTTGAATAATACGATGACTAATAAATGTTTGGATCGCAGGAAAAAGAGAGAAAGTTATAAGACAGTGAGATCTGACTTGATTGGAGATGTTCAGGGATTATATAGGAGAGGAACGAGAGAGAGCGGGAAGTTGAAAATTTTCGGTTTCTTCGAGGCGGCTAGAGGAATGAATCTTGAACCGTCCGTTAAAAACTTAATCTTACGGCTGTAATTTGGCGATCTGCGTGAAAGGATCTGACGAATAGGATAAGTTTATATCTTCATTTGGTTATTATATTAATGAATAAACAGTGAATTTGAGCCGTTGATTATTCATTGACGAGGATCACAATCCTTGCGTCCTGAAAGGGGTCATAAGAGTGTAGCTTCTTAGGCGGGAACTGAAAACTTCATTTTATTTTTGGCGTTTTTAAATTATGGAAATGTTCTAAATTATAAATTTATTAAAAATAAATTTCACTAAGATTTGATTTTGTCCGTACTAAATAATAAGAATTAATAAAAAATATATATATACGTTATTATCATATTTTAAAATCACTCTTGTAATCCAATAAATAAAATATAAAATATTTTTAGTAATACCCAAAATTAAAATATATATTTTTAATAATTTTAAAATTAAAAATTATAATATATAGTTTTAAAAAAATAATTTTAATTTTTAGTTAAAATTTATATCAAAATTATTCTCATTTAAAACATATAGTTACACAAATACCCTAATTTTCATAAATCATTCTTACCCTATACTTTATGAAACTAACTACCTATCTCTTATGCCTCCCTATGAATTCACGCATCGCATCTTCATCACGTATATGGGAGTATCAACGGACATAATTATTTAATTAGTGTATCTCGTAATACTTTTTAAATGTATCATAATTAAATAGCCCACCAATACCTAAATCGAGTGTTTGGGTTAGTATTTGACATCAAAATCATCATCAATGATGATCACGGTAGAAAGGAAACAACTAAGACGATATTTATTTCAACAACAAATTTCAATATCACAATTAAAGAATTAGATAAAGTAATATTATAAAAAAATTATGCGCAGAATAATGCACGATTTGCCTATAGGAGTTGGTGGTTGGAATGAAGTTGCACGTTTGTCTTGTGGCCATATGCTTCGAGAGGATTGTATCGCGAGTTATCTAAACAAGTTACTTGCACTGTATCTTTTAACTACCTAGTACCATCTCCTACTAATCATTAAAAATGATATTGATCGGAAAGTTATTTAAATTATTATGAAATTTTAGAGTTTGAAATATAGAATTTTGCACAAATAACAACATGAATATAGATCTATATCTAAATTCATAATCGAAAATAGAACAACATACTCGTATAAATCATAAAGGTTATATCTGAAACGAAAGCGTACCTGAATCCACAACGAAAGAAACCTGCACATCCTGCGATAGATCTTTCAAATCAACACGCGATTATTTGGAGTTCTCTCTCTCTCTCTCTTTTTTTTCTGCCGACGGGATTGCAAAATAGAAAAACCCTAACTTATGATTTGGGGATTATAACTCTCAATTTATATCCTTAAATTTATGTTATTTACAATTTTACCCATCACAAATAAAAAATAATACTTTTTGATATCTGTGCCTAAAAAAATTCATACTTTATTTAATGGATTAAAGTTCAATATCCATTTAGGCTTAATAAATTATTTTCAAACAGGCCCAATTAAATTGATAGTCTTTATACACAATAAATTTACATATAAACCCACACGTTCATTAAAAAACTCAACATAAAGTTAATTAAATAATATATTCTAAGTAAATATTTAAGTGAATTGTGGGGAATGATTAGTGAGTTAGTATTCATTTATGTTCAAGAACGTTTACTTTTTACTGCATGCTTTCTATAATTTGCATATAGAATTGTTCATAGCAATATTCAATAGTTTGGAGAGGAACTACGAATTCATCACCACACTTACACCTAATCTCTAATCTATTCTGGACTTCTTTTAAAACAAAAAAAGAGCAAACCGATCATAAAAGATTCGTCATTTACATACTGTGTGTGTATATATATATATATATACATATACAACAATCCAAAGATCACTGAGTTACAACTAACAAAAAATTCACAAATAATGTCATCTGTTTTCATGTCGGTCATCTTTTAGTTACACCCAATTGTTAGGAAGTGAAAAATCATGAAATCTGAAAGAAGTTTCTCCAGCAGTGTCACGCTCTAGTCTGAGTTCTGGTTCATTCCCGGTGGCTATACTTTCATATTGATTATCTTCGGGTGGCAGAGGCAATACCTGATTATCGCTCGGGTGACGCGGTAATTGAATTTCAGGAGGCAATGATGAGACTGGAGGTGCAGAAAAAATTCTATTTGACTTAGAATTAGCTGCAAATGGAGAAAGAGAAGAAGCCAAGTCTTGATCCCATAAGAATACATGAATAAGAATTGGCACATTGGCGAGACGATGTAATGAGAGTTTGTGGCTTAACGAAACAGTGTCGAAGCATTTGATTGCTCCCGCTGATGAAATCATCCATGGAAGGACTTTCTGGTTTGAAACTCTCGACACCACCAAGAGCTTTGATGCTTTCCTGGTTTCTTTATATAGATTACTGAGACCTGACCTTGCCGAAGGAGCATTTTCGTCATTATCAACCACAGAAGAAATGTAGATGAATCCCTGGTAAAAATGTCGTGGATGCATTATTTTTTGAGGTTTAGAAAATTATCAAGAGTCTAAAAAAAAAAATCAAGATGATGAACGTACCTCTTCAGTTCGGCTAATGGCAAAACCAAGCTTCAAATCATCTTCTTTTAGCCTAATTTCGACGGCAAATTCTCCTCCTACTGGAGCATACCACAGACGAACTGCTCTGACAACACCAAGGTCAACTCCATGGTAATCTTCAAAACCATATAGGCTTACGTTGTTGAGGTTTGACAAATCAGATGAACCGGCATTTACTGTAGAAGAAGCCATATCTCCCGAAATCTATTTTAAGATATACAAAATTTTTCAAGATTTTAGACACAGTCTCAGCAATGTTATATTTGTACAATTGGAACGTATAATAATTGTATACTGAGAAGATATTATGGATTCTTGAAATTGCCTCCTAATCAATGCCTTCTAAGGATCTGAATTAACATAAAGAGAGTTTGATTACCTTGGTAAGTAAGGATTCGGTTTGGATATTGATGAAGACAAGAGGGACACCGGTTGCCTGAGATGCGCTGAGCCAGGTATTTGCACGAGCAAGAGTGTCCTCCAAATCGTTGTACCGGGGGCAAGAAACAACTTGATCGGATGCTTTTGGAAGGATAAGCATGGAAAGAAAAAAACTTGAATTTGGGACAGAAAGCACCTCCTGCATCCTCTTCTCCCAAGGGTACCCTACATATCCATCTTGAAGCTTAATCCTCGACAGTTCATTGACCATCCTCGTAGTCCTCGAAGCTGCACAGAAATGGAATGTTTTAACAACAAGATACAAGATTCATGGGACAAGATTGTATAAGTTTAGTACCATGAAAGTAGATATCCTAGTTCAACACAATAAATATTAATTATTGAACTTGGATGATAATCTATTACAAATTTGAAGAACCCTAAATAAAAAATGTAGGCTACATTAAGTTAAACATGGTTGATAAAAGGAGAAAAGTTGGGATGAAGGCACTAAACATAGCAAATAGTGGGCCAAGTGTGTGTATATACGTACACTGATATATAAATATGTATATGTATGTGTGTGTGTGTGTGTATATATATATATATATAACTCGTGCTACATATGCGGCACCAATTTAGCTTCTATAAAGTCACTAATTTAGATACGTGAATCCTACAATGGCATCCTTTCCATCATTGTGGCATTATCCATGTGATGTGATCAATAACTCATATTGGACAAGCATGCATCACGGTTAATCAAAAAGGGTGTGTGTGTGTATATATATATATATATATGTATGTGTATGTATATTGAAAAAAAATATCTATCAATCATAACATATCAAAAGTCTACGGACCATAGTTATTGTCGAATTAATAACGACTATAATTTATGTCACACGTATATGACATTTATAGGAAGCTAATTCTTCTCTAAATTCATGGGATGAAACAAAAATTAATTGGATTAAATTACACTAATTGTTTTTTTTTTTTTTAATATTTATGATTAATAGAAAAATTAATAATTTTACTAATAAGAAAATAGAATTTAAAAAATAGAGAGGACAAAAAAATAAAATAAAATGAAATAGAAGGAATATTAAAATGAAAATTAAAAGTTACGACACGTGTATCTGACTGCTGACGTGTGAGAGGAAAACAAATGAAAATTTGCGGTGTCTGAGAGAAAAGTCGTGTGCAGAAGAGTCAAACACAAAAGTCAGATCTGCAACTCGAGGATGAAGGAAACCGAGTTTACTCACCTTGAAAATCCAGGCACTCGGCCTCGCTCCGATCGGAGAACCCGATTGCGTAGTTCGGGTCCCCGATTGATCGCAGCATGTATTGCTTCCTCCCCGACGATTCATTCGGCACGATGCACGCCTGCAACTCCACGAACTCGTGGCTGCCGCGTCTGACCAGAACCAGAATCCATGTCTCCTTCTTCTTGTACGAGCTGTGTAGAATCCTTTGAACCCCGCTCTTACCGCCCTTGAAAGGGGCCAAAATTGACTGTGCGGATCCGGGGCCCGTACCGATCCGTAACTCCTCCACTATATCCCCGGTTTGAAGCATATCCCTCGTCCATTCATCGGCTTTCGAGGAACCTTTTAGGCACTCGATTGAGAGCACCAACGGCGATTTTACTGATTCTGATTGTTGCGTCCTGTCCATGGGCATATTGGGGTCGGCTCAAATTACTTTTATCGCGATTTTAAGCTCATTCTTCGATGGGTATCTCTCTTCTTCTTCTTCCTCTCTCTCTCTGGGATTTTCTGCTAATTTTCGTTTATGTAAAACCAATAAGGAAAAACAGAAGAGAGAGAAAGGAACAAATGAAACGAAGAAGCTATGTGTGGGTACGAATAGTTAACTAGCTTGGGCTTTGCAACTATGGAGTCTGCAGGTCGAAGAAGATGAAATCACGGAGCAAAATGACGGTTGATATCAAAAACAGAGAAAAGAAAGGAGGATTTGGGGTTGTTCTTCCAAGTGTACGGAGTCTGAAGTTCGAGGAATTTGCAGGAGATGATTTAAAATATTTATATGGCTTGGCTTGATGACTTCATTTTTCCTGGAGAGGTGGGCTTCCTTGTCAATTTTTCATATGAATAATCACCTCTTCTTCTCCCTCTTTCTTCAACGCGAGAAATGACTACACTGAACAAAAATAAAATAATTGGTTTGAAAATGAGATTATAATAAGAAGTTTTCTGTGAGTATCTCTATACGATATATATATATATATATTATAGGTTTAATGGAGACTAGCGGTGTTTTTGGAAGTTGGGTTAGGAAACCATTGACGAAGAGAGGTAAGCTTTTTTATCTTCTTTTTTTCTGATGAAGAAGAGAGGTAAGCTTAGCTAACCCTAATTAGTTGATTGAAGGTGATAGAACAGAGTCTCAGTTTAAATGCATTTTTTTTTTTTTTTCAACTTTTATTTTTTTATATATATTTATATACATATATGTGTATTATATATATCTAATGCAAATTAGTATTTTACAAATCAAGGAATCAGCTACACAAAGACCTTGTAAACATCAAAAAACCAATTTTACATATATATATACACACACACACATATATGTATATAAATATATATGTATATATTATAATATTTCTTGCTTTTAAGATAATAAAAAAATTAAAACACATGGATTAAATTACAAATACTAAAATTATTATTTTTTATTAAAAAAAAATTACCGTAAATGAATTTATAAACTACAAAAAAAATAATTATTATATTTAAAATTAAATTAAATTTCTTGGAAACTCAAGGATGTGATGCAAAATATATACACTAACAATTACCAAAACACAAATAAATTAGTGTCCATTAATTTTATGACTTCTCTTATATTTTTATATTTTATATTTTTGCTTTTATTTTTTTAGTCTATATCTACTACTTATATTTTTTATGATATTTTTGTAATAAAAAATTAGTATGTTTACTTTCTTTAATTGGGTCCAATAAATTTATTTATTTATTTTTATATGTAACATTCTTTACCTACTAATCACATATTTATTATGTACGGCACATTTATTAAACAATTTTTTTTTTTTATCATTTAAACTATTATATTAATTATATTGATTATTAAATAGGATGATTTTAATATTTTACCAAATCTATAATTAGTAAAACGTAGCAATTAAAAATAACTTTTTGCATTTAATTTAAATTCTTATATAAATAATTTAATAAAATAATATTGGGTTGGCATGAGAATATGTAATTCTACCCCAAAAATTGACTAAGAAAAAATAGGTATTATTTGTAATTTTTTATATCAATATAAATTTCGATAAATATTAAATTAAATTACTATATTTTTGGGTAAACATCAGTAATGTAGGCATGTCTCGGTCAATAGTCACAACTGTGTTTATACACGTATACAAATATATATATATATGTATGTATGTATATTTATTATTCTCCCCAAAAAATACATATATTTAACATTTGAATTATTAAATTACAAAATTTAAAAAGATCTAATATAATATAATGTTTAATATCCTCGGCGGGCCCCATAAAATATCTCATCGATAAAAAATTACAGTGTATCCATAGGCAAGGCCGCATGTGATTACTCCACGGCGTCCAAAATCTTAAATGTCGGCTGAGAGATGTTTCTGACAATTGACTCGTAGGCCAAGAACACCACGCGCTTCAGACTCATTGACAAATTGACTGCCCGCGGAACAGAGTAGTAGTCTTTTAGCGCGTGGTTGCCACGCTCGAGTTAATAATGGTTTTGAACTGTTTCCACGTCAGGATTGTGACGTCAACCGCTGATGTGGGCATATTTATTATTACTTTAATTATTTTTTTTTCGAATACGAGAAGATTGTCTGCAAATAATAAATATTAACAGATTTATAATAAGAACAAAACTTTTTGAAATTAATTTAATAATTTATTCAGCATTAGTTATTTAATATTAAATATCATATACTAAAATTTAAAAGTTTAAATTAATACATAATCAAACTGGAGTGACTGCATATAAATTTTTTTAATATATATATATATATATATATAGGCCAAAGATTGGACTGATTCAAACAAGTCCAAGTCAAATTCAATCTGGTTTAGCAAATTAAATCTTTTTTTCTTTTTTTTTAATATTTACAGCGTAATTTTTCCAAATAAAATAAAAAAAAATGTTATTAAATATCGAATATTAATTTGCATATTCCTATTTGGTTTAATTTTACATACATAGATATATAACATGAAAAGGGCTACTCTGCCTGCCATGAAATTGAAATTCATAAAGCAAATATTAAGTTTATGGAATAACAACAGTAGTATTCATAAAAAAACTAATAACATATTATATATGCCGATGTATATAATATAACAATTTAACTACGATGCACCTATATATATATATATATATACCCTTGTTAATCTCTGGCCAGGATATCAGTTCATATTACTCTGACGAATTCCCTCCGAACTGCAAATATATTTTGCAGCTGAATCCTGATGATCATGTATATCTGCTCAGTGAACATTTGAAAAACACTTCAGAAGAACACAAAATGGTCGGGTAATATCTAATCAATGACCAGCTTCGGGAACAAAATAACCATATTATCAGGTCAATGTATGGATTTAATTTGTGACCAACATGACAATGGAGTTGATTTAATATATAGTCATCTCAAAAAATCACCATACCATCTAAGAATCCAAAGATTGAAGTATCATTCCAGTAATGAGAATTCAAGAGCCAAGACTCCAGACAGTCTGAAGGAGGGTCTATTGCCTACTCAACGAATTTCCATGGTGATTTGCACGCTAAGAATCTGTTCTCCACATCCCAAATTTCATCATCGAGCTGTTTAAATTGTTACTCTGCAAATTTAGAATTTGCACTTGGCAAGTTGGCATTATATGCCTCCTGCCTGAGAAGATCAATGATACATCGAAGGTGTATATGGTAAAACTCCACCCTATGGTAACTTTCTAAGATTTCATATTCAGAAAAAGAATATATCTGACAAAGTTACTTTGGTCTATTCCTACCAAAACAGTAAACTGACTCTGGATTTTGTTGCATTTGTTGCAACACCGATTTTGTTTTGATAGCATACAATGCAGACACTAGGTAATTTTTATTAATTAGAAAATGGAAGTACGGGATCTTCACCCCGGGAAAATCTATGATGTATTAGAAGTACGATAATTTCATGATAAACTTCCTAAAATTTTGATAGCAAGTTAGTAACATTAGACATACGCTATGTCCAGTAAATGAGTTTGGATATGTTGCATTTCCAACTTGGAAGATTTCCTCTATGATTATATAGCAAGAAGTAATTAAACTAAAAGTGTAACTAGTTGAAAGAGAATCAATTACAAATCATAAAAGTTGCACAGCACTTACCATCTATACCCATCTTTTCTGAGAAGCTGCTCCTTTTGATGCACTTGGAATTCGCCTTTTACTCTTTTTGAAGTCCCCCCTAACTGATGACAACTGTCTTTGTTTTGGAGAAGAAGGCATTTTGAGCTTCTGGTTAGTAGATAGTTCTTTAAGAGGAGTTGCTGATTGAGAACTGATATGAATATTATTTGATTTCGCCAAATAACTCGAGGACTTTTCTGTCGCTGACTTCTGCTCTAAGTCAAGACCTTGAACAGGAACCAACTTGGCACTAGGAGTGTGTGGTTGGTTTGATGGTGAGCTATCTGAATCAGAAGAGGATGGACTTGTAGTACTATCCATATCATAAAGGAGGTTCTCTGCCATGGTTGGAAGTTGCCAACTGTTTGAACTTGAGGTAGAGGAAGGCCTGCGGATCCTTGTAAGGTTCACTGCCTGCATCAAAATTATAAATCAAGAGTAGTTCTAATCAGTTGTTCTAATTTATACAACTATGAAGGAACAAACTAATCGACCCAAGCTGTCAAAGAAAACCTTCTCTTTTTTCTTTTTGCATGAGTTATGCAGCGTATTGATCACATTAAGATCAGATTTGCTGTAAATAAAAATTGATGCGTGCATGATTTGTGCATTTCACAAATTATTTTTTTCTCTATTGTTTGTCATATATTTCTGAAAATTCAGAATCGCGGGATGTTCTACTTTTCTCTATTGCCGAGCTCACTAGTATTGGCATTCTTAGAAATTTGCCTCTTTTTTTAGATTTTGTTTATACATATGCACACGGGTGGTATTTATGCTGCGAAGTACTGCCTCTATCCTCTTAAAGAATATACTAAGACTTGGTCCATCACATTACATGTGACTAACAAAACAAAGTGGGAACCGAAACTAAGGGAGTAGAAGGAAAATTGCAGAGAATGTGAAATTTCTGCGGTCAGTCTAGTTGGTTTCAGTTTGTTCTGCACACGCTAAAAGATTTGGATAATATTTATTTCTCACCTTTTGTTCTAAAACCACCATGTCCTTCTTCAGCCTTGTAATTATCATGTTCTTCCTGCGAATGACATCCTCCAATTCTGACATCCTCTGTAGTCAGGAAGATATATTCTCAGATAAATTGCAGAAAAAAATTAGAAAAGAAAGGCAATTACAAAGTAACAGAATCAAATACTACCTTTGAACCAGCCATATTAGATAACTGAAGAAAGGAGGTGAGCTCCTTTATGGTGGCATCTTTCTCTTCACAGTCCTTCTTCAGATTGAATATATCATGTTCAATTGCCAAGTTATTCAGCTGCATAAATAACACTATGTCAGAAACTTGGTCTAATTAGACGTTGCTGCTTCAGCAACTCTCTCTCTGTCAGTTTCATTCATGCATTATGAATAAATTTGTGCAGAATGATTTTATGGAGAAAACCTAAAAAAAAGTTATAAGATTCTTAATTCAAACATATGCTCACCGAAACCTTAACGACTATGATCTTGTTGAGGATCGATATGCAAAATGATACTACATTGTTTTTGTAATGTCTTTTAGTAGTCCTGTTCTATGTTAATATTCAGAAATATCAATTAGTATCTATCAAACGTTCAGAACCTAAAAGAACCCAACAAACTCTGGAACAGACGAAAAAAGTCCAGAATCATTTTGCAATCCCGCCCAATTGCACTGTCTATTCTTGAGTATCTTTTTTTTTTCCTTAAAAAAAAAAAAACCTTCTTCATAGGACAACCCACAAGATTAATTAGGACTATATGAAAAGCTCTCGAAAGCTCATTTTCTTCCAGTACAATTAAACCTTATGACTTGTGCTATAATTCCAGTAAAGCAATGAGAGAAGTAGACGTAGCATCAATATAAGACCAAATATGCCTTGATTTTGTGACCCATGAGGCTATTACCAGTTCAATCGTTCACTGCTATCCTTGAGTCCAAAAGTTGCTTCGAATGATACCTCACCAATTTTATTTGTTTTCCTGTCTAAAGCATTCTTTCAGTAATAACTAGTGGTACTCAAGCAAGAAAGTAAAATTAGCGTATCTCTGTTCCTTATTGCAAGTACTGTTTGGCTTCAGAAAGTTGATTTCATGAAGCTAGAACTTACCTTGTGAGTTGATTCCAAGAAATTTTTTATCGATTATAAAAATCTTTTTCTTATGAAAACATGTATAAAAATCTTGTATAATCTGTATAAGATTAAACCACAAGTGAAAAATCTTAAACTTTTTAGAAAAAAAAAATGGAAATTAGACAAAGGGATGTACAATTTGACTACTGTAGAGTTTCCCATCACCTGGAGTTCTGCTGAAGATGCAACACTAAAAGACCAATCCGACAGATCAGACATCCTCCGTTCTTCTTGTTCTGCTACTGATGCACTTAGAAAAGGTTTTGAAACGTGAAGCATCTCCTTCTCCTCACCACAAGCTTTCATGAAATTGGTACCCTGATACAACATCAATCAGTGGTCAATCCTGAAAATTGGTTAAAGTTTACCTAGCAGAGAGAGTAATCTTCACTTAATCTGATAAAAACTCATTGCTTACCACCAATCCAGTGAAAATGTCATGATGTTGATCACAGAGCCAACAACCACAGTCGATAAATGAAATTTTATCAGAACAAAGATTTTCTGTGAACAGTGACTCTGTCTTTTTGTTCACTGACTGTTCCTTAACATTATTCAACTGTTCACACAAATTGTCAAGCTTCTGCTGCATGGTTGAAAGTACCTGATCCTGAGAAGGCAATGTAATGAAGAGTTAGTCCCAGTTGTTTGATGAGTTTGAAAATTTTAGAATATTGTCATGCTAAAAGTTCTAAATAGACCATTTAAATTCTGAAATATTTAGAAAACCCAGATTGTATAGTATTAAACTGTAAATTATTTAGACTCACAGATGTGGGAAGATGATATTACATCTTCCCATTATTAAGCCATTAATAGCTCAATAAAAATTTGAGAGTTACTGATGAAAATGTAATTGGAGTTGTTAATAAAATTATGGTAACAAACTAATTTCTATGGTTCTACTAAATAATTTATCATGCTGAAATCGCAGTTAATGTTAAGCAAATCATAAAACGAAACTTCATTATTTGACAAAATAGACGTTTTGGTCGATTCAGAAACATTAAATAGAAACTCTGCAGAAAATCGACGGTGAACAGAAACATAAGATCAACAATGTATTGCGTGAGTCACCAAGAAACGATTAGTCAGGCACTAATTTTTGAAGAAAAAAGGAAAAATGTGTTCATTGAACAGCCACAAAATGTAAATTAAAGAGGGGTTAAATTAAACCAGATTAAAAGCTTTTGCATTAAATTGAAGATTCACCGTAAATAAAACAAACCCATTCATAAATGCTATAAGTATAAGATTAATCCAGTATCTGGTCATGACTCCAAACATAATCCACAAGATATGAGATATCAGAACAAACCCTTAACGGTTAATCCCAATATAATGAAAAATCATGCATCAAAAAGCAATTTTAAAAATCACAAACCCTAAGGTCCACAGATTTCCTGAGCTGCTTAATCAGCCGGTTTTTCTTCGACTCTGCGACGGCCACGCCAATAACGGCAACGATCAGAAACCTCTGGATGGGGCTAAAAAGCTCCCACGCCACAGCTTCTTCAGAGCTCAAACTGCCTCCAATGGACGAAGCAGAGCTCGCTTCCTCAGCATTCACAAGCCTTCCTTGCAGGGACACATAAGCCATCCGCCGAGCTAGAGGGACGGGAGTACTCCGCTGAATAAAGTTACTGGATAATCGGCGGGGCGAGGGGGAGGAAATGGGAGAAAATGGAGCGAGAGAGACCAACGCCGGTGGACCCATAACGAAGCCGGAGTCCTGGTCAGCTTCTTCCATGGCGAGAACACAGTTTCTGGAGAGATTGATAGAGACAGAGGAGCGTGATTACAGCGATTGCTGGTTTTATGTGAATCTGTCGGAGTTATTTCTGCGGATTCAAATTTTTAAGTTTAGAGGGAAATCATATAAAGAAGGTGAACGTTGGAGTTTGAACATACATGAAATTCCGCCACGTGTAATTTATTATTTTTAATGGTATGAAAAATTATAGAAATAAAAAAATCTTAATTTATATTATAATTTCGACGATTCGAAAATTAATTTATTCCAAATTAAGATTATTCGAAATATATTTGGAAGTAAAATTCATTGTTTTTTAAATATTAATTTTTAAAAATGTATCGTTTAATTAAAATGCTAAATTCAGATTTTTTTGGGAAAAGAAAATTAAGAAAGTAGCCAAAAGAGAGCATGAATGAATTATTTACTGGGAAGTTAAGAATTTTTACAGTCCAGTTTTTACTTTTAACAATAAAATGGTGGGCCCATTCATCAACACTGTGACACTATTGCAGCCCGCGAGGCCCAAGCCCATCAAATCTATTTTATTATATTACAAAATAATTATTTAAAGTAAAAATAAAATAAAATAAAATCCGCGGTTAAAAAATTACAGCATATATATTTTAATGAAGGTAAAAGGGTAGAAGAGGAAAGTGAGATCAGCTATGACGTGGCACACACTCTCACGGATATGGGGGACCCAAATATAACAGGAAAGTGACTTGTGTATCGGATACAGCTGTACCACCCACCATCTCCTGTATGTGCATGCTATTGAACTGCCACGTGTCAAAATCTGATAATCATAATTAAACAAACGTCTTTCCCAATTCCCAAAACTAATTAACCTATTACTTCATTTCAAAGAACCTTCTCTTTTCTTCCCCCCCCCTCCCGAGGATAAGGTTTTCTTTTCTTAAAAGTTTTTGACCTCGACGAGATTAGTATAAGGCTAATTACTTTTTAAATTTAATTATGTTTAAACTAATCACAGTGTCTAATATGTAAGATGATTGTATTAGTGAGATGTGATATAGCTTATGACACATTTTTTTATTAATGGGTTGAAATGAAATTTAATATAATGTATTTATAATTGGTCTTCACTTAACCCAAACAATCAAACTTGTTAAAAATATATATATATATATATATATATGTTTGTAAATCCATGTGAAATACAAATGCAAATACATTTATTGATTGTTTCTATAGATATCATCTATTTGTTGCTTCTGGATATAATATACATGTATGTGTCGTAATAGATATAAATGTCATCTATTTATTGCTTCTGGGTATAATATATATGTACATGTCGTAATCGATATAAGCCACAGATTATGTATACACCATAATATATTCCTAATTAAATAACTCATAAAAAAATATGTAGTCATCAAAATAACTATTACCTATTTATTATATTAAGATATGATTATATCTTGATAAAGTTTAAGCTATAATATTATATTATAATGTATTTTTTTTTTATATTAAGCTATAAATTATGTATTTTTAAAAAAAAAAATAATGTGCTTTAATAATTATTTAATTAAGTAGATGGAACAAATCAATTGACTTTGGAAATAAATATTACATTAATTGTGAAACTTTTAGGTTGTGGGTATTTTGATTATTACTTGTGTAACTTATTTTTTTTACTGTAATAATATATACATACATACATACATACATTTATATATATATATATATAGCTTTTTTTTTTAATAGAAGAAAAATAAACACGAGGAAACAACCCAAATAGAAATTAATGAACACGGGAAGGGATGTACAAAAAAGCTCAATGGATCAACAAACGAGACATAAATACATATGAAGAACATAGAAATGCCTTAGAGGAAAAATTCACTATATACGCAGATTGCTCTCTATCATTATCATCATCTCATTAATGGGTTTGAACCTTAAAGTTACCTTTTGAAATCAATCTTTTGTTTTTTTATCTTTATCCCCATCAAACCCCATTACATATATGACTATACATATGTATAGATATAAGAATATATATATATATATATATATATATATATAACTTCCTTCTTAGCCTAAAAAGACAAGAACCCAGCTGATTGCTTTTGCAATTTTTCTTTTTCTACTATACATAATCGTTCTCTCTGCCACATATCTAGGTTCTTTCTTTTCTATTTTTGCTGTTGTTTGTTCGAACACAAACACTTGGCACGATTATCCGAAAGTGTCTGTTTAAAAAAAACCCGAATACCAAACTATAAGATTTTCGATTCAAATTACAAATTCAAAAATTTAACATCGAAGATGATATAATTTTTAAGTAAAATAGTAAAAAAAAATTATAAAATTTTATGTGAAATTTAAATACATACCTTTACTTGTTTTTGTAAATCCTTGATGTAATCAACAGCAAGATCTAGCATGTCGGCCGTGTTCGTTTGCTTCAGAAAAAAAAAAAAAAAAAGATTATAAATAAATTGAGAGAATATGCAGTGTATACAGTGATGTTGAATGATTAATTCAAGCTGAAAAAGAGACTTTTAATCTCTACCTTGTCCATGTTGGGGACAAGATCTTGTAGTTTCCTCATTCTCTCGCTAATCCGAGTTCTTCTAACCTGAAAATTCATGTCTGGTTTCAATATTTACCCGAGTAAACGAAGAATTACTCAACGAGTATAATGAAAATTGAATGATATTCGAAGCATGCAAAAACCAAACGACAAACATTTATTGAATGAAGAAATTTAATTTTTCAAAATAAAAATTCATACATTCTGCTATCTTAATAATAAACAACGTAACTTGTAATGGAAATTCTATGAACATTACCCTCTCGGCGATACTTCTCGGGTGGGTGGCGCAACCGCGCTTGGCTCTTATCTTACAGGGCACAGAATCTTGAAAGAATTTCTCAATGGCGCTGATTTCAGCACTGGATTTCGGCAAGCTCAAGTGATGAGCCAAAAGGGGAGGTCTCATACTTGCAGCCTCTACATTCTGTGTCCAGAAACATCATACACTCCAAATATATATATATATATATATATATGCATATAGCCGTACATATATAGGAAATACTGACCTTAGTGAGAGCTTTGTCATCGTCTCTAATTCTCTTCACACCAGCAATCTCATCTGACAAAATTGCAACCTCATCCCAAGAACCAACCGTGTATAAACCAGCATTTTCGGGACTATTTCCTCCCATGTTTTTCTCACCCATTTCTGTAATTGTCTGCATCAGTCCCGACGAAGAAGATGGTGGCCTGATTGCAGATGTAAAAGATGACTCCCTCTTATTTCCACTCCCGAAATCACCCATTCCTCTCAACACACCAAATCCTGTCAACACTCAAATTTCATTAGTTGACAAACAATAATACCCGAGAAACAGAGACTTCCAACTTGGCTTTTCTTCCCCAGTTGATTCGCTCCCTTGAAAAAACGAGTGTTTCAAACAAGACCCAGATATTGTTTTGGCTAAAGATTAGTTAGAAACGGTTAAAAAATTAAAGTGGAAGATGAAGTGAGAGAGAGAGAGAGAGAGAGAGAGAGAGAGAGAGAGAGAGCTTACTGTTATCGATGTTTATATTGGCGAACAACCCTGCGGGTGAGCTACTATGGCGAATGAGATTGGGTGTACTATTTCCTCCCCCAGTCTTCGTGGGTGGTAACCGATCCATCCTCATTGTTGTCTCCATTCTGTAATCCATGCCCGAACCTGAATTTTGATTCGGCAATTGTTGCTGATTTTGTGCCTGGTGTGTCTGATAGAAGCTCTGAGAAACAGAGGAGTAACTATTTTGCTTCTGCAAGACCTCTGTTTCAGTTTTAATGGTCGCCATTATCTGAGTTTGCGGCTCCATCTCTCTGACTGGTTCCTTCACTGAAGAGCTGTCTCTGATGTCCCTGAAGCTTTGGTCTAGTATGGCGTTGTCGGTATTACCAGAGGTTGCAGATAAGAACCGAGCGAAAATTCGCTCTGTTTCGGGACTCGTAGGCCGGTTCAGAAACTCTTCGCAGAAGTCTCTGTCTGAGAAACTTGAGAAATATGAACTGGGCGCCGATTGGTACCGCGTCAAGCCAGAATTCATTGGTTTTTGGTCGTAGAGAGGTTGGTGGTCGGCGAGATGGTGGCGGCGGTGGTGAAGATCCGACTCCATTAATCCCTTCTTCTTCCTCTTCTTCTTCCAATTCTGTTTGCTTGTGCTGACAGATAAGGATTTTTAGAAATGAATTGTTAAGAGCTTTCCTGGACTAATTCTCGTAAATGAAGTTACCCAGAAAGATAAAGAGAAGACCCAAGTTTGTTTCTGGAGAAACTGGAGTTTTCCTGGGAGATAGATACTTCACGAGCTGAAACTTTTTACCCGGAATTCAAGCTGGATCTGATGCGCTAAAAACAAAATTCAAAACTCAAAAATTGAACAGAAAAAACAAGTGTTCTCCAACTGAATTAAAGCTTCACAAAAATTAAAAAAAAAAAATAGCACACGATAAATCAGAACTCACTCAAAACCTTTCATCGCTCAGAAAGAGCCGACCAAATTTCAAATCTGATGAATCACCCCACTCTCCCCTGTTCTCAAATCTGAAAATCACTCCCCAACCTCAAGAAGATAACTAAAACAACCCATAGAAACAAAATATACCGCTTAAAAACTCACATATATAAATATTCGTATATGTATTTTATCAATCAGATCATGTACACAGAAAAAAAAAAAAAAGGACAGAGCAAGGACATAAAATCTAATCACTCTCTCTCTCTCTCTCTCTCTCTCTCTATCTCCCACAACTTTTCTAGTGAATTCCTCTGTTAAAAGCCTTAACGATGGCGATGGTGGTGTAACTGTGTTGTAGGTTATATGGCCGTGAGTGAGCAAGTAAAAGGAAAATTAAAAAAAAAAAAAAAAGAAAAACCATTTTCATTTTCTGTTGTGAGAGAAAGAGCCAATGGGAAGTGACACAGAGCAGGGGGCCAGAAATGTAGCACTACGGATTGGGGGATGTTTATCTCTGAGATGTTTGGACGAAATTACCCTCGGTATTCTGCGGTAATTACGAGAGAGAGCCAGTTCTTTGAAAGAAGCGTTTTTGGCTGGCCTTGGTTACACGTCACGCAAGGATATACGTATTTAATTTTGCTGTTTGGACATTTGCAGAGAGCGGAAGTTTTACAAGGCCTCGCTCAGAAAAAGGTGACTTGAATTTTTATAATATATATTAAATTACAATAATACCCCTGTATAACCACAGTATTTATGTCGTACAATAATATTTTTATTTATATAATCAACTAAAGTTCTTATAAATTAAATATTTTGTTTTATACTAATTTGTTTTTTAGTTAAAATATAGATTTTCGTCTAAAAAGTATGGGGGGGGTTAGCGTCGGCTACAATATATACAAGATAATTATCTCTTTCAAATTATAACCGTACAAATTAAATTCGAAAATATTTATAAATAGTGATTTAAATATAATAATAAACTCTCGCATATTTATATTTTATAAATTTCAGGGTTAAATATGTATTTACAAACATGAAACTTAAATATAGCCTGGGAAACAAGCGGGGGGCGGTCAACGTTTGACCGCTCACCAAAGTTGCTTCCGTTTCTAAGCATGAACAAGTTAATCAACAACTAATTATGATCAAGCCAGTTAATCATCGACTAATTAATTACAAGGGCAAAACCGTAAAATAAATAAACACATACATAAATAAATTCAAATCCTCCATCACTTTTGGAAGAATAAGACAAGAATATGGTATTTTTAATGGGTTTGAATTTTGATCCCCCCCTTTTTTTTTTTTCTCTTTATTACTTTGTTTTTTTTTAATTAATTAGATAATCTAAGTGCTAAACATGTGTTTAACTAATTTAATTTTTTAGGGTTGGAATATTTCGGTTTTTTTTTTTTTTTTTTTGGTAATAATTTTATTATGTCACCTAATTGGGGACCATTTATGCCACGAGGCGACGTGGTAGAGAGAGAAGCACATGTGGAATATATTTTTGGAGTCACTTCCATAATGGGATTTGCATTATGTTTAGAAAGACAATATTATCCCACCTAAATAATTTGTATTTTGTGTAATACCGAGGGGTTATTCTGTCTTTTCAAAACATCGTTTATTGGGAGAGTGCTAATGTAATAATTAAATTGAATTAAATTTTAACAAATTTATCATGTTCTTAAACAATGATTCGTCAATCAATTACATGCTGTATGAATAAGAAGATCAAAAATTAATGAATGCCAGCGGATCAATTTATTATTAAATCAAGTTTGTAACCTATTAGAATCTCCCGATTTGATTAATCTTTCGATTTGGTTCATTTAATTTAATTCATTATCAAAACAAGCAAATCATCTAATGACAAATTCTAAGTGCTAGATAACTATGAATCAGCATTATATCTACTTTATTTTTTTCGCAATTAACATATAGTATTGTTTATCTAAAAGGGATCATTTGCTTTAAACACATACATATATATATATAGCAAAGATTTATACTCGTCTTTTTTACTTGTCGGTTCTCAATTATGCCATCTAGCAAATTAATTTGTCCCCCCCCCCCCCTTAAAAAGGCTTAATCGATCAATAATTATCTAATAAATAAAGCTATTTATGCATGGCTATGCTTACACTTTCACTAAATCTAGTATATATATATACATATAAATATATAGACATATACACCACGTGTGACTATATCAAAGAAAATTTTCGAATAAAAGTTTGCAAAGTGAATTCAAAACTTTATAATAATGAGATAATTTTGAATGAATAATTTAAAAACTAAGATTATCGGAATATATTTTTTATATTATGAAATATTGAATTTAAGTCGTGATAATCATTGATTATAGAACTTAAAAAGTTTACGTCACCCAATACATAAAGAATAATTAAATTATTGAGTGTTATTTACTATAAGGCAACAGAAAATATTTATTACGTTATAATTCCTTGTTGTAGGGGAAATATGATATCATAAATAGGTAATAATTAATTTTCCTTTGTATAGAAGTTGACCAAGACCTTTCGATTCATTTCTTATTTTCTTCACATCAACATCCTAGATTTTAAATGAAATAAAATGCGGCTCCGGCTATTATATATATATTTCTTTTAAAAAAATGATAAATTAATATTATTAAAAATTATATTTATTGAATTGAATTTTTTAAAAAAATAATCAATTAAAAATAAAAAATATAAAAGGTTGTATATCACTGTATTTCAACGAAAGCCGTTGACTTTTGCAGAATTGCTGGAGGCAATTACATCACAATAATAAATTATAATAATAAATATTTCAACAAAAATGGTCCTACGTACATTCCGGTCATCAATCAAATTCATCGTCGATTAAATAATTTAATTTAATTGAATAAAAATAATTTTAGATGTATCGTGAATAATAATAAATCGTCATAATTAAGTATTTGGATACAGTAATTAATTATTACCCAAAAAAATGCGGTAAAAAATAATTACTAATCGAACCACGGCAGGTAATTTAAAATGACTGGAGGTTGATTAATGAGTAATCAAAGTGTAATTAAGTGAGGAACAGTACTTAATCACGTGAGGATTGGTTGGTGGGAGGTTCGTTGGGTCAGAAAATAGTGGATCCTGTCTCTTTTAGAGGCTCGATTTCAGTCTACATGTTCGCGTATACATACATATATATATATATATTTTTTATTATTTTAAAACATAATTTATTTTAAAGGGTAATAATTATTATTTTTAATAATATATATTGTATATGTATATGTGGGTTGGACATCATATGATATGATATTATAAATAATTGAAGGGTTGGTATTAATAGCTTTCGGCAATTGAAGGATGGTTTTGTTTGCTTTCGTCGAAACACGGCGTAGCCGTAGAAACATGTGAAATATCGGACAAGACAAGGTTGTTTCGATGGGGGAGGGGGGGAAAAAGAGGTACTTTTGAGGTGTACAAAAAAACAAAACTTCTCATTTATATATATACATATATAAATGTATAATATAATATAATATAATATAATATAATAACAAGGGTTTTAAAGTTCAACGTAATCTTTTTTTTTTTTTTAAATAGTTATTTCATAATTTAATTATTATTTTGAGTATTATTGAAATTACTAAATTACTCATATTCCATTTTTTCCCTTACCCTTTTAAAATATATGTAAAAAACTATATCTTCTTCAAAAAAATAAAAATGAAAAAAAATACCCTAGACCCATTATATCTTTCCTTAATGTTCTTATTATTATTATTATTTTTTTTCTAGTTCCATCTTTTTCCCTTTATGGGGCTAAAGAAAAGCACTTATTGCCCATTAACTCAATTTTAAAAAGCTCCTAAAAGGCAAACTCATAAAAGAGAGAATTGGTGAAGTGTATTTGTGTGTTGTGGGGCAAATTGGATTGGGATTTTGGGAATGAGAGAGAGATTCCCACAATGTGGGGTGAATGAGGACTTGAATTTTGTATACGATTCTACTGATATCAGAAGATAACATATAGTACATGCCGCATGACTCATTAGTGGATTCTCTACCCAAATCAAGAAACCCTATTACTTGTTATTTTCCTATTTTAGTTGGTGACTCCTAAATTCTTTCTTATCGAGAAAGTTAAAGTTACGAGAAAGCTATTCCGTATTTAGGTGGGCTTTAGCTGAATTATTTATTTATAGAGTATATTAATTTAAAAAATAAAAAAATAAATTTCCATGTGATTATAAAAGATACCCACAAAAATTCTTCAATAAATTTTATATACAATATGATGATTCAAATTTATGAATAATTAAAAATAATTTTGTTAGTGTGTTTATTTTTAAAAATATTATATTCTAATTTTAGTTTGATCATATAAAATTTCAAAATGATTCTATTTTATTATAATTATATTACATCCATATCTCAATCATATTTATTTAATATTTCATTGATTTTATTGATATAAGAGATGTCTCTTTCTAATTTTATAAACAAAAAAATTAAAAAATTATCATATAATAATTCAAAAATTAAAATAAAAAAAAAAGATTTGTGATAATTAATGTGCTGATTCAAAAATTCGAGATTAGTGTGACTTTAAATTTTATGAATTTTTAAATTTTGATTTATAATTTTATATTTAATCAGTTTTTAATTCTATCATGTTTGATCTAATTTAGTTGGAGATTAATAAACGTAATATATAATAATATTAGAATTTAAAAATAAAATAATTAAAATTAGAATTTTCATAAACAAATTTTGAGATATTATAATAAAAAAAAATTTATTTCTCCCACTCAATTGGGACAAAAACAAGAGAGAGGAAGGAAATATTTTTTGGGATCTTTTGTGACTTTTAAAAAAAAAAAAAAAATGATTGAAACCACTCTTGTAAAATTTAAATTTCTAATTTTATTTTATTAAAAGCATTCCTATCCTTACTAACTAAGCTACTTCCTACCAACTTATTTATTGTGTGTGTGTGTGTGTGTGTGTATATATATATATAATTAACAAATTATTTATTTTATTAGAAATTAATGATGATTTAATTAGTTGGTCTAATCAAGAACTTGGCGAGGTTTAGTTAGTTAATCATTTAGTTAAAAAGTAATTAAAATTAAAACGGATGGACGGGTGTTATGAAGGTGTCCGGGACACCACAGGACAGGGATGTTGTTTCTTGGATTGTTTCTCTCTGTTGTACATCTCATGGGCTTTTCAAATCACTCTCGGCCCACAAAACTAAATGGGCCGATAAAATATTATGGGCTGTCAAATTTTGGCCCAAACTGGCTTTCGACTTGCGTTTGGCTCGGTGCTTTTCCGCCTATTTCTCCGCCGCCGTTTCAAGACTTCAGCATTCAGCAAGCAAGCTCTGTCGATCTTCGCTCCCTCTGGTACTTTATCTTCTCTACCTAATTTTCTCTTTTATTGAGTTAATTGCTGCTGTAATTTAATATATCTCTGTTGAAACGGCTCTTTTCTCTCTCTGCTTTGCGGTGCTCCACTGCGGTGGCCACTGCTGGTTGGCTGCGTCTTGTCGCGGCCACCCATGGTTGGAGCTCATGACAGCCGCGATAAGAGCCACCCGACAGGTTTCTTTACGTGATTAATTTGTCATTTTTTCTTTACTTCTTTTCAACTTCCATAATTCTCACTTGCCGTTTTAATTTACCGGATTTTGTGAATGGGTTTTGTTTTTGTGTATATTTTGTGCAAGGTTAGATGATGATGTGATGTGCGTGATGCTTTCTGATTGATGAATGTTGTGGGTTTGCATTGGAGATGTCTAACTGTTATTTATGTGGGATGCTTTTGTCAATTTCAACCCATCATAGGTGTTGGAAGAGGCTTTAGGGCTTTTCTTTAGTGGAAAATTTCACATCTCAATGGAAAATTTGCTTCAGGGTACTCTTTTTGATTTGCTTTTACTTAATCTGTTTAGCAGTATTGCTATTGTGTGCTCGGTGAAGTAACCATGGAAGTGCGAAGTGGTATTAATTTCGATGGTAGTGATGATTCTCCAATCTAGTTTGAGATTAATTTTCTTTGTATCTGAATTGTAGCTCCAACAAACATAGTCTTATTCCTTTGGAAATTTTCCTCACTGAAAGTTTGTTGGATTTAATCATATCTAATCTTGGCATTCGAAGTTAGCTGTTTATTAAGTTCGGAACAATTTTGGATTTTTTGTCTCCATCTCTAATATTCTTCAGGGAGTAGGACTTTTCTAATGCAATTTGAAAATCTTGCAACTTTGAGTTTCAGTTATTGCCATTCTTTTATTTCAGGTACATGCTTATGGAATCTTGAGAGGAGATGTCAGGCATTAGTTATGAGGATATCAAATTAAAATGAACTAGGTTCCCAGGTGAAGTGCATGTTCTACTTGGAATGGCTCTGAATATATACTCTTCAATAATGGATACTAGTAATGTTCCCGTCAGTACGGGAAATACAGTTTTGGAGCCTCGTAATGACATGGAATTTGAGTCACATGAAGCTGCATATTCATATTACAAAGAATATGCCAAGTCTGTGGGATTTGGGACTGCTAAATTGAGCAGCCGTCGGTCTAGGGCATCAAAAGAATTTATTGATGCAAAATTTTCTTGCATACGGTATGGAAATAAACAACAGTCGGATGATGCTATTAATCCTAGACCCTCCCCAAAAATTGGTTGCAAAGCAAGTATGCATGTCAAGAGAGGGAAAAATGGCAAGTGGTATGTGTATAGTTTTGTGAAGGAGCATAATCATGAGCTTTTACCAGCTCAAGCACATTTCTTCCGAAGCCACAGGGATGCGGATCCACTAAAAAATGATGTTCGGATGAGGAGACGGAAGAATCTTGCTACTGTATCTAAACTGTTCAGCGCTTACCAAAATGTTGAGTGTTTAGAAGGTTATATGAGAAATCAGCATGATAAGGGGCGAAGTTTGGTTCTCGAAGCAGGAGATGCTCAATTACTGCTTGAGCTTTTTATGCATATGCAGGAAGAAAATCCGAAGTTCTTTTATGCAGTTGATTTAAATGAAGAGCACAGATTGAGAAATGTTTTCTGGGCTGATGCCAAAGGCATGGAAGACTACAATAACTTCTATGATGTAGTTTCCTTTGACACTACCTATTTAACAAATAAGTATAAACTACCATTGGTTCTTTTTGTTGGGGTTAACCATCATATACAACCCACATTACTCGGCTGTGCACTGATTGCAGATGAAACAGTTTATACTTTTGCTTGGTTAATGCAGACTTGGTTTGTAGCGATGGGGGAGCGAGCTCCACAGGTGATGCTCACCGATCAGAGCAATCCCTTAAAACAAGCTATTGCAGCAGTCTTCCCTGAAACAAAGCATTGTTTTGGCTTGTGGTATGTATTAGAAAAGATCCCCCCAAATCTAGAGTATTTGACTCTGTGGCAAGATACTTTTATGGGAAAATTTCAGAAATGTATTTATAGATCATGGACTGAGGAAGAATTTGAAAGGAGGTGGTGGAAATTGCTGGACAAATTTCATCTTAGAGAGGTCCAATGGGTCCAATCCTTGTATGAAGACCGTAAATATTGGGTACCTATGTTCATGAGGGATTTATCTTTTGCTGGTTTATCAACAGCATTGCGCTCAGAAAGTTTGAACACTTTGTTTGACCAATATGTGCAACCGGAAACATCATTAAGAGAGTTTATGGACCACTACAGAGTAATGCTTGAAGACAGTTATGAAGAGGGAGCCAAAGCAGAGTTTGATGCATGGCATGAAACACCTGAGTTGAAGTCTCCATCACCATTTGAAAAGCAAATGTCACTGGTGTACACACATGAAATTTTTAAGAAATTTCAAGTTGAGGTTTTGGGTGCAGCAGCTTGTCATCTTAAGAAAGAAAATGAAAGTGACACAGCCACAACATACAGTGTTAAGGACTTTGAAGACAATCAAAATTATATGGTGGAATGGAATGAACTGAAATCGGATATATATTGTTCATGTCGTTCTTTTGAATATAAAGGTTATCTCTGTAGACACGCCATTGTTGTTCTCCAAATGTCTGGTGTTTTCAGCATCCCATCTAAATATATATTACAGCGATGGACCAATGCTGCTATGAGCAAGCATGCTATTAGTGAAAGATTGGACGAGTTGCAATCTAAGGTCCGCCGTTACAATGATTTATGTAGACGAGCTATTATATTGGGTGAAGAAGGTTCATTATCTCAAGAGAGTTATGACATTGCACTGTGTGCGATAAGAGAAGCTCTTAAGCAGTGTGCCATCGTAAATAACTCTATTGAGAATGATGCCAGGCCTAGCAACCCGGCAATTCAAACTGTTTGTACTGTTGAAGAAGGGAATCAATGCAGCATTACTTCAAAAGAGAAGGTCTCTGATCCTACTAAATACACGGGGACAAATAAGACTCCCAGGAGAACTGAGGCAGGTAGGGATAGTAATCAGAGTAGTGCAAGCGGAAAAGGAAAGGTTAGCAAGATTTGTAGTTTTGGAACAAATTCAGAATTGTTATAGAATTAATTAATTAATTAATGTTTAATTTAACTAGATGGTAAAAATTATTCGTGAAGTGTAAAGAACTAAACTTATATGAAATTTAATTAGTTGGTTTTTTTGTTTATGCAGCAGGTGCCTCAGTTTGGTGTTTCAGGTGTTGGGAATCAAGATGGTCTTCACCAAATGGTATGTGCAGATTCCCATCTCAGTACTAATTCCAATTCCATCTTGCACTAGCAGCACTACACCAATTTTAGTGTTTTGAATTTAGCCCTTGGTGCGGTTATCAAAAAAAAGAAAGAAAGAAATAGCCTTCTGTAGATTAGTTGTGTTTGATTGGACTCCTTGTTTCACGGTTTCCAGGTAGAGCTTTGTAGTGGTCTACATACTTGTTGCATCATATGAGTTGGTTGTCTATAATTGTTTGATGATAAGATTGTATCAAGCTTAGCCTAAACTGCCAATCTGCCTGAAGATGTCCGTTGATTTGGAGGTTTGTGCCTAGCTTGTTGACTCTTTAGATTCGGCAACTGAATCTTGAAATTTACCCATCTAGAAATTTACCCTTCTAACAGGCATAATTCCTAGCAGGATGACTTAGTTTAGTATGTTTTAAGTATAGGACTAATCCAGGAAGTTTCCATATTTTTGAGTCCGTTTTGGTCATGATTTCCCTTCCATGGAGGGAAAAAGTCCTTTCTTCTGGGCCAGTTGCTGGTGAGGAGTGTTTGAACCTCTGACGGCATGGTTCATAGCCACCTCCTCTGATGGTTATAGATAAAGGCCTCAAAATATCTCCATTGGATTTGTTCGAGAGAGTACTTTAAAAAAATAAAGGAACCTTTTCTCCCCCAAAGTCATTCGGGTTTAAAAAATGTCGATGCACCTTTCTCTATATGTTAACCATGCATTCTGAGGAGTGAAGTGGGAGAGAAATATTTCGTGAGTATCTCTTACCCAGATACTAATAGGGGCTTGCATTTCCCCTTTTTTTCTTCTCCTTTGCGATAAAAGTCTCTGCTTTTGGCAGGAGCTAGTCGACATGCGGCCAGCACAGTTGCATAATGTAATGCCACCGCAATTACATAACATAATGCCAGCAATGTTCCATAACGTCCCACCACCGCAGTTTCAAAATGTAGCTCCACCAAGGCATCTACATGATAACCGCCCTCCGCATTAGCTCGAGGACTAGCGTATTCTGTAAAATCACCATGTATGTTTCGGCGGCAACTGGGGTTCTACCAAGTTTTCTCCAGTTCATAAGAAGATTCCAAAACTGAAAATGTCTGTGTTGCAATTGTATGAGTTTAAGGTCTCCGTCATGAGCTCCCCAACAGTTGAGATAAAAAGGGTAGGCAGTTTTTCCAGAACTAAGCTTGTATTTAAGCTGCTTATGAAAATGATTTAGCTTTACTCTGTCACTTTAATCCCTCTTATAAATAAAGCTCTATATATAGTTGATATATATATATATATATAGAAAAAATTTGCACATCTCTATCAGGTACCTTTACTGGCTTCTGCCTCTCTTCTGTGTGATCGTGTATCTAAAGCCACTGTAGAGCTTTCACCTAACATTAATTTTTAAGCAAAGAACAGTTTGAGTGTATCTAGTTTGATTAACTGAAGTTATATGGTAATCGGGTACTTTTTCTAAACTATACATACAAATTTTTCAAAGATGCATAAATTAAAATTAGAAAAATAAAAATACACATAAGATAATAGTGTCCAACAATGAAATTATTTAAAAAATTACAGGAACTGGATTACAGTAAGGCTCTTCTTTGGTTCTGTTCTTAGACAGACGGTATCTAACTTGAAGGCACAACAATTGATTTTCCATGTACAGTGCCATGTCTTCCGCATGCCTGTCTGAAATCTTGGTCAACCCCTCAAATCTTGTCTTTGGCTTCCCCAGATACTACCTAAAACCCTATATTATATATATATATATGTATATTTATATATGAAAAACTATTCGACAGACATTTTTTTTTTTTTATATATGTAGGTGTGTATGTGTAGGATACATACACACACCACCTTCATTGCATGTGCATGATATTGTAGTCGACTTCCATCTATACATACGCACACATATTTGTATAAGAAATTTCTGAAATATATAAAATAATTTGATCTACATACGCATGTATATATTATATTTTATATAATAAAGGAGTCAGATTCAGATTCAGATATTACAAGTAGCTTCACTGGAAACGATGAGATGAAGATACGTTTTACAACCGTTGTCGATATCCATATAAATATAATTTACAAGTACAACCCATGATATTGGTGGCCCACATTTGATCATTATCACCATCATAATCTATGTGGGCCCATTCGACGTGGAAGGTACTCAGTAGCAGGCGGGTAAACGGTCAGGATCACTCGCTCATACAGGAACTGATTTGATAACACACACACATGAGCCCAGCTTCCCAATTGTATTATTTGACTTTTTTTTTTTTTACCTTCTCTTATGATTTTTACTTTTACTTTTTTTTTGTTGTTATTTACTATAGGAAAAAATATATGGTAAAAAGTTTTAGAAGTGCTTGCTAGTTGTTGGACAACAGAACATGTAGATATATAAAGCATGCCCCTACAATCATTCGTCAAAATAATTGCACCGAAAATATTTTTATCGTATTCATACTCAATGTTAAAATAATTATGTTAATTATCAATTATTTAATAATATAAAATTTTCATACTACTTAAAATTTAAGTATTAATTTTTTTTTATAAAAAAATTACCATAATTTTTGTTAAATTATTTTATTATTATTATTTTTTTGGTTATAAAATATAAGAAAATTGAAAAATAGAAAAGATAAAGTACCAAATTACAAAAAAAAAAGAAGACAAATTTAGGAAAATAATTCAAATAATTTCATCTCTACTATAATTATTATACTGAAAAATAATAATCAAAATCTAATAAAATATAAAATTAATTTAATAATTAATTTATTCTCACTTTATTGGACAATACGTCGTCAGACGCATGATTCCCCCGGTTTAAATCAGATCTAAATCGTTACAAATCGCACGGCACCGAGGCTGCCACGTGGGAAGTACACGTGTGCTATACTAAATGGCGCCGTATGGTAGCTTCCCCGTCTAGAAGAGCTTATCCATTGAACATGACAGATGTGGGGCCATGTCCTCAATTATTGCCACTCTACATCCCGATCCTCTCCTTGTAATTTGGACTACCCATGTGCTATGTTACTCTTTTAAATTTGTCGCAAGTTATTTAAATTAACTCAGTAATTATTTAAATTACCGTTTTATTAAATATTTTATTAATTCTAATTATTATTTAGTACGACACATGTAAATATTATATTGTATTAGAAAAATTGTTGTCAATTTAAAAAATTTATGACGTAAGAGATACAAAATTCTGGTTTTCATTTTCAATTGGGTTTATTAAGTACAAATCTAAATGACAATTGCTTGTCGACAAAATGTACGTAGCATGAAAAGGAAAGGACATAATTATTATGCCTTTTCAAATTTCAATTGCATGCCGACTTCCCATATATATATATATATACACACACACACACTGTTATTTTCATGGGGTTACTGTAAATTTCTTTTTCTAGCATTCATTTTCCTAGCTTATATTAAAAACATTCATTCCCATATCTTTATTTTATTTATTTATTTTTTTCCTCATAGACATTTCAAATATTCACTTATTACCTCAGCTAGCAAAATTCAATTATTAATGTACTATATTGACTAGTTAGTTAGTCCAATGAAGAAATTATTGTTTTACTAGTCATGAATTAGTGGACTCATCTTCGACATATATTATAAATAATAATAATTTAATTATGGATTTAATATTTTATTGCAATTAATTATGGTAAGTTAATTATTAACTCACGAGGGTTAAGGTATGGTTTTCAATAAATTGATATATTTGGTAGAATTTATTTAAATTTTTATTTAGTTTAATGATGTCGGATGTATTATTTATTTATAAATTTTACAAAATAATAAATAAATAAATAAATAAATCATTTTCTCTCACACATCGGTCTTTTATCCCACGTTAGGGGTAAAATCGTCATTAAACGAAAACGAACTCGCTGCTATATTTATACCAGCGTGCAGTCAGTCTGCAACATGAATGGCTGCCATTCACAGCCACACACTTATCTTCTTCTTCTTCTTCAGACACGAAATACACACTACATACACCATTAATATAAACTTACAGAGGGAGAAACAAACACGATATCTATACTTAACACACCCCTACACAGTTATAAGCTGTCACTCATCTACCTGAACATGGGACTCACTGTGTTGTGCTATATTGGCGTGGTATTAACGGCCGTTAGTTGGACCGTCAATGGCTGCCCGCCGACCGACAGGGCCGCCCTCATGGCTTTTAAGTCCGCGCTCAACGAGACCCGCCATGGTATCTTCGGTTCATGGGTCGGTCCCGACTGTTGTCATAAATGGTACGGCATCAGCTGCGACCCGGAAAGTCACCGGGTTGCCGACATCAATCTTCGCGGCGAGTCGGAGGACCCTATTTTCGAGAGGACTCACCGGACCGGGTTCATGACCGGTTCAATTTCCCCGGAGATCTGCAGACTTACCCGCCTCTCTTCCATCATCATTGCTGACTGGAAGGGGATTTCCGGCGAGATCCCTCCGTGCGTCACGCGTCTCCCGTTTTTGCGCATTCTTGACCTCATCGGGAACAGACTCACCGGCGAGATACCTCCCGGTATTGGCCGGTTGCAACGGTTAACTGTCTTGAATGTAGCGGACAATCAGATATCAGGAAGGATTCCGGCTTCAATTACGAACTTGTCCAGCTTGATGCACCTCGACTTGCGGAACAACCGTCTGACTGGTCCGATTCCCCCGGATTTCGGCCGGCTCAAAATGATGAGCCGGGCTTTACTGAGCGGGAACCAGTTGTCCGGGCCGATACCCTTGTCGATATCGCAGATCTACCGGCTGGCCGATTTGGATCTTTCTTTGAACCAGTTATCTGGACCCATCCCGGCCGCCTTGGGAAAAATGGCGGTTCTTGCGACCTTGAACCTCGACTGCAACAGGATATCGGGGCTGATTCCGGCGACTCTTCTGAACTCCGCCGTAGGTAACCTCAACTTGAGCCGGAACTATCTCCAAGGTCCGATACCCGATGCTTTCGGGTCGACCTCATACTTCATGGTACTCGATTTGTCGCATAACAATTTGAAGGGACAGATACCCAAGTCGATGTTGTCGGCGACGTTTATCGGGCACATGGATTTAAGCTACAACCACCTCTGCGGGAGGATACCCGGCGGCGCCCCGTTCGATCACCTGGAAGCGTCGTCGTTTGTGTACAATGACTGTCTTTGCGGAAAGCCGCTTAAGCCTTGCCGAGTTCATGTCCGGCCGGCGGAGCCCTAGATAGCCGGCTAACCGGAAAATATAGGAAATGAGTGAATATTAAATACTTGATGCTTGTAATTTGTATTATTATTATTATTAATTTATTATTGTTAGTTCAAAAAGATGGGAGGAAAACAATATATTCGTTCGTAATTTTTAATTTTTATTATTTTCTATTTATTGTCACGTGATTTTACTGTGCATGTAATCTGCATGGGTCATGCATGCATGAAAGTCTTAATTCCGTCTTATCAAGGTGTTTTTTTAATAAATAAATAAATAAATAGATTTACGGTTTAACAATTATTTGATGTCTACAATTAATTATAGTTTAGGTTATTATAAATTTCTTAATTAAGCTAAAAATTTATATATCCCCTTCTAATTACTTAATTTTAACTTTATTGATTAATTAAAAACCTTGAACACCTTTGAAAATATTTAGAAAGCACATTAAAGCTAAAATCTAAATTTTGGAAGTTGATGAGACAAGATGATTGGATAATCCGATTATTATATATACTCCAAGGAGACTCTATCTCACTGACATCATTACTTTTTCAAATTGCTAGCTGTTCGGGAACATATATATATATACATATATATACATATACATATTAAATTTAGGAGGCATATATCGATGTGCTAACACTAATTATATACAGTCTCTCTCTCTCGATCTCAATAGGACCGTGCATGAAAACAAGGTTTCTGAATGGGTGGGGGCCGTCTGACATTATGGCCTGGGACCAATTTCCCGTCGACCAGAGCGGCGCCGACTGAAATGTTCCCATCTGATTCTTTCAGTTAAACCTCCCCGGGAAAATCAAATGTTCAAGAAATAAGCAAATCAAAGGAAAAGAAAGAAGCTAAGAACTGGAAGAAAGTAGTGCAAAATAAATAAATCAATGAGAATGTTGTAAAGCAGAAACGATAGTCTCTTCAGCAATTTGCTTTCATTGAGACCCACTAAAATCAATTACATATTTCCAAAAGTCAAAAACTGAAGTAATAAGATAATTCGAAACTTGAATCTCTCTTCATTCTTGTATGTTACTGGTTAATGCTGAAGTAAACAGTATAAGATTCATCCCTGAAGCTCATTAATGGTGAAAAAACAAAGCTCCTGTTGGCCCCTTTTGCAATAAAGCTGATAGGATGGTACTCTGCTAGTCCCTTCTTCATTACAAAGCTGGCTGCTTGGTTATTAAAACCACCCTCCTTGTCTTTGCACTTGAGACTCAGGCCGACACCAGCTACATCGTCCACACCACCGTACACGAAACAACCCTTTTGGCTTTGGGATTCCAACGATACCGTTCCATCTTTCCCATCCAATCCTGTAACTATAAGGAAGCTAGAAGGGTCCCCATTAGCAGAAGAGTTACCAACTGAAATCCCACCATCTGATTCTTGAAGTAGAACCGTTCCGGGAAAATCAAACGGTTCAAGAATGACTTGTTGGCCAATAAAGTCTGAAAGGCTTGAAAAGTTTGATGGTTTTCCACTCAAAATGATTCTAAATGTTGCATGGACAGCAGCATCAGTGCCGGGTTCAGGGTAGTTCTCCATTTTAATCAACTGGTCCGAGTTTGCCAAGACAAACGTGGAGTTTCCTGATTGTTGGGAGAATGTAACAAGGTAGTCATTGTAGTAATTGGGAACGGCAGTGATCCAGTCTGAAAGAGAGCTAACTGATCCAGTTTTGATGTCCAAGTTGCCATGACTATAACCCGCAAGAAGGTAAGGACCATAAAAGATTGCTTGCAAGGAAGCATACTCAGGGCGGTCATCTGAATTTTATCCATAAGAGTTTGTCAGAATACTTCATCCGTAACAAACTATCACCAAATCATAGTAAAAAGCAATTTAATTCAGAATTTTGTGAACTTCAAAGAGTTGATTAGGGGTAAATGAATATTTGAGTTTTCTTCCATGGAAGTACCTTTAATAGCCTCAGTTCTTAGGCTAAGAGGTAATTGCAGTGTTAATTTGTCATTAGGACTCCAGCTGTGAGTCACTGGTAGGAAACTACCTGGAACGGGAAAAGGAATGAAATTTTATTCCTAAATAATAAAAACATTAAATTTCATATATTTAAAAGAACAATTGAGATTAGTCAGAGTGCAACCTGGAGCTGGGAGAGGCAAAGTTCTAGAATTTAATTTCACTTCAGCACCAGTTGAATGCGTCCAAATAGGTACCCGCAAATTCAAAGTAGATGATTTGCCTGCCCCCTGAACAGATCAGTTTGGAAAAAAATTTAGCTTTTCATCTTTGATAATGCAGTAAAAATCTAGTTTATAAGTATATATTACAGCCATGCAAGTTCTCATCTAAGAGAAATATGCAGATAACAATGATATCTCCACTATGATAATGAAACAGCCATGTAAATTCCAAGATCATTCATAACAAATTAATTTTGCTATTTACCTTTTTCAAAGAAAAGTTGAATGTTACTCGCATGCATGGATCCCAAGAAACAACTGGATCAACTTTTTGATTTAGGGATATATGCCCTGATTTCCAATTAACTGAGCTTGATACATACTGGATGATGTAAAGACTAGGCTTATGTCCTTTCTCTTCAAAATATAAGGAATCTCCCAACTTCGAAAATGATTCAATTCCTGCAATAGTATTAAAGAAAGCAAATCATTAGACCGAATGAGCTCACAGAATATGGCAGAAAGGAGATTTACTAATTGAAGAAAAGCAAAAGTTGGATGTAGTAGATAGACCATACCTGTGCCATAGCAGCACCAGAAGGAATCAAACTTTGTCCCCCATCCATGATGGCTCTTGCCCTTGGAAGATCCTGGACCTAATGGTAGCATGTAAATCATTATTCCAGGCTCTGTTCCTCTCTGGATACCAAGCACACCGTTTGTCAAGGCACGCTCGTAGAAGTCTGCATATACCGCTGCTTTTGTCCATCTAAAGAGGTTTCGAGAAATCTGCACAATCAAATATATAGGTTGAACATTTTCCATCAAACTGGTTTTGTATGGCAAACAAAAACAAGCACAAGAAAAGTAAAATGCTAAACCCTTTAAAGAAATCATGAATTTTTTGATATAGATCTCTTATTTACACATGGTTTACAAGAAAGATCACCATTCCCTATGGGAGCCAAATACTCAGAGAGACAATGGTTATATGTCTCATGAGAAAAAAATTGAAAGTTGTCATTACAAACCAAAAGATCATATACTGGAATTCAAGAGATTACCTTTAACATGTTGTAGGTTGCACACGACTCTTCATTTTCAGCTTCAAGAGTGCTTGCCAATCGCTTTGGATCTGTCCTGCTCATAGTTTAGAAAAATAATATCAACTAATGATGGAGAGCCAAATCTTAACAGCCAAGAAATGTGAGCTTTAAATTCTTGATTTTAGTACCACGACTCTTTGTATGATGTCCCTCCTGTTGCATAACTGTGAGAAGAGTTAACAGTTTCCATGAAGAATGTGCTCATTTCCTGGCACAATGGTATGAGGAAAAAATTTATAAGAAACCCTAACAGCCATCTCCCACTTGATATGACAAAAGCACTGCAAACTCAAGAAAGTTACCCTATAAAGTGGATCACCAGTGATTTCGTAACGCATCTGGGATCCAATAACAATGGGGATATGAGTATTGGCATGGAATCCACCTAAACTATCAGCCTACAAGGAAAAAACATAAAGAACTGTGATAACATTATCTAGAAATGTGCCCTTCGTTAACTCTTTTCTCTGAAGCATTTTACGAACTAGGATGCTCTTGTTGAACCTCTGTCCAAAGCATCCTGGTACCTTTCATCAACCCTTTTTCTTTTCTCTTCCTACCAGGACAGAGTTTCCTTAATCCACTACACATTATTGGAGAACAAAAGCCTATAACCAGAAAAAAAAAAAAAAAAAACCAAAGCATTATATCAGTTACCTGAATTGCAAGCAATCCTAGAAAGCATGGTTTGTCAAAAAGATGAGCCAACAGTAAATGCTTTGGATCTCCCTGCATACAACATCATGAGAGGGGTGATATAAGACCAGGCAAGTGAAGAAGAAAATTTCAATTATGTTATTAGAAGCCCAGAGAGGGAGAAGAGAATTATATAAATGATTCACTCACCGTTAAACTGAATAACCTGTAAAGAACATCATTCATTCCACCAGTTTCATCGTTGAGAGATTGCCAGTGTCGTTCAATAGTGTACTTTGTTATGACATTCTGAACCCTGTTGTAAAAGTACTGAGCCATCCATGTAGCCATTTTTAAAGCAAGGCCATTACCAGCTAAGGTATTCTGATCTAAGAGACCAGCAAAGATCTGTCATTATCAACAAATCAAAAGCTAATCATAAGCATATTACAAAAGAACTAGTAAAATTGAAAAGAATAGATCAAACTAGACCATACCTTATGAATTGTATAGTATGGAGCCCAGACATACTGAAGAGCTTCAACACGATCAAATAGCTCAGATGGGAAAGCAGAAAGATATCCCGATCCCATCTTCTCCTGGCAGGTTGATAGAGCAGCCAGTACTGCAGACATTTTCTTATTGAGAGTATCATTGTGAGTGCTAGCCCACATCTGTGCTGTTGCGCTTAAGTAATGGCCTTCAAAATCCAAAATACATGTAGACAAAGTTAAGAGAACTTGAATTTGCTTCTTATGACTTCAATGAGCATAATCCATTAAAACCCACTGGTTTAATCCTAACAATGTACTAAAATTTCACAAGCTTAACAATGGCATTTCAACAGTGTCTTTGAAATTAAGAAGACAGCTTTTGAAAAATCTGCTTATTATCCACGAGAAAAGGGAACAGGTTGGCTGCCTTAAGCACGTGCTATCTTTTTTCTTTGTTCTATTCAAAGCAATACTGAATAAGAAAATTACTTTAGTAGAATACACAGGAACCCAGAGAAACATGCGGGACACCCCAAAAAAATTTCATTCAACTTCCAAAAAGTCTATTTTAGGATCCCATCTCCTGATTCTCGAGGGAATCTAATTGAATTTGGGAAGTAAAAAAGAGAATCATTACCAGCAAATTAAAAAAACAACATATTCATCAAACAGTTTTTTCTTAAGGTTAACAGGAGGCAGAGAGGAAATATATACCTACAAAATGACCTCTGAGCTCAATATTAGGGGCTTCCCACCCTCCATAAGGAGTTCCGGGAGTTGGCAATCCAGCCGTTTTCCTAAAACTCCATACCAAATTATCAGGATCCAACATCAAAAGATACTCCAAATTTGTTTGCTGTGCTTGTCCCTGCACTGACATGGGATCCAACCTGACATCATGCAATGAAATCTCCTGAAGCAAATTTCCCGGTGCTGTAAACCCGCTGGGATTTTTGATTTTCCGATACTCCATTGCCCAGCTCACTTCGTTTTCTTCCTTGAGCATCTTTCTCGGCCGCAAATCAGACCAAACAGAATCATAATTTTGTGTCAAATGGTAGTGACTCAACACCTCTGCCTTCCATGTCTGATTTTTCGAAGTGGAGAGTTCGTGTTGAACAGTATGAGACTGAGGGAACAGGTTCGTGCACTCCTTCCCCAAAACAACATGCAATAGCAGGAAGAGAAGAAATGGTTTCAACAGCAAGAAACCCTCCATTGTTATGAGAAAACCCAGATTAAAAAATGGTTTTGCTACCCAAAAAGAGGATCAAATTCAGGAGAAACGATTCAAAGAGTGATGAGATTAGAAAAACCCAGACTCAGAAACTCAGAAAAATCTGTCAAATCACCCCAATTTGAATGACTTAAATAGAGTGATCAAACAAGTATTGAACTGACATTGGAACTTCCAGAATTCAGTTAGATACTTCAAGCTGAATAGATAAAAGCTTGAACTCAGCGCAGAATCACATGCGACACCTCTATATATAGACAAAAGAAACTGCTGCAGAGAATTTCCAGCTATACATATCAGAAAAGCATCTGGCGAAAGATAAGAATGACTTTCCACTGCAAAACGGATTAGATAACAGTCTAACAGAAATCGGAGAAGAAAAAAATAACTCAAAGAACAATTTACAGGGAAGCGGGAGAGAGAAGATGGATAAGGACAGAGAAGAATCACGGACATGGTATCGATTTTCAAGGGGTTTTTGGATTCAATATTGAGAAGGAGACAGTTTATACTGCAACGAAAAACAAAAACACCAGCTTTATCTGTTACATTACTTAGCGGGTTCATTTCATTTTGAATTTATAGAAAATTAATGAAGTGGAAATTCAAAAACGTTTATTTTTTATTTAAATAATTTTTAAAATGCATAAAAATAAGTCATTTAGTTAAAATCCCTTGAATTTTGGTGTAAAAATTCAATCTTTATTTTTCTATTATAATTTGATCACATTCTGGTTGTATTTCTTTATTTAGTTGAAATTAAATAAAACTAGAATCATACTTATGGCGGCCCCGACTGTTGTCGTAAATGGTACGGAATCAATCTTCGCGGCGAGTCGGAGGACCCTATTTTCGGGAGGGCTCACCGGACTAGGTTCATGACCGGTTCAATCTCCCCGGAGATCTGCCGACTCACCCGTCTCTCCTCCGTTATACTTGCTGACTGGAAGGGGATTTCCGGCGAGATCACTCCGTGCGTCACGCGCCTCCCCTTTTTACGCATTCTTGACCTCATCGGGAACAGACTCACCGTCGAGATACCTCCGGATTCGGCCGGTTACAGCGGTTAACTATCTTGAATGTGGCCGATAATCAGATTTCGGGAAAGATACCACTTCAATTACGAACTTGTCCAGCTTGATGCACCTCGCTTGCGGAACAACCGTCTGACCGGTCCTACCCCCCGGAATTTCGGCCGGCTCAATACCCGTGTCGATATCGCAGATCTACCGGCTAGCTGATTTGGATCTTTCTTTGAACCAGTTATCGGGACAGATCCGGCCGCCTTGGGAAAAATGGCGGTTCTTGCGACCTTGAACCTCGACTGCAACAAAATATCGGGGCTGATTCCGCCGACTCCTCTGAACTCCGCCATAGGTAACCTCAATTTGATTGGTGAGATATATAGTTGGTTTTGATGGATAGACAATCTAGTATAATCATTATTTTTGTTTTGATATTCAGCTAAGTAGCTGGTTAGGAATTGGATTATTAAAATCTAGTAATACTAATAATTAAATATATAAAATAAATTTAACGAAAACAATAACAATACAAAACAATAATATCATCTTTCCTTTAGCAAGAAATATATTTTCACACTGAAGTTTAATTATATGATAGACATAATATATATGTATATATATTTGAACGAACAACAATCTCTCTCTCTCTCTCTCTCTCTAGACCTCAACGGGACCATGCATGAAAGAAAGGTTTCTGAATGGGCATAGTGGTAGGACTTGCAGACTGATTTTTAGCAGATTCAATTTTTATGTAAGCATATACGTACACTTTTCTTTGTTGATCTCCTAGAAGACAATTTGCTTCCTTATTCTTCTAAATTCTTCTGTGAATTATTGCTATTTCACAGAAATTTGTTATTTGCTGGTCTGTTCTTATTTTCCAAAATCTTTCAGTAAAACCTCCCCAGGAAAATCAAATGTTCAAGAAACAAGCAAACCAAAGGAAAAGAAAGAAGCTAAGAACAGGAAGAAAAGTAATGAAAAATAAATAAATGAATGAGAACGTTGCAAAGCAAAAACAATCGTCTCTTCAGCAATTTGCTTTCATAGAGACCCAATAGATTAATAACATATTTTCAAAAATAAAAACTATAATAATAGCATAATCGACTTGTTGAAACTTGAATCCCTAGATATACTTATATGTTACTGGTAAATACTGAAGTAAACAGTATATGATTCATCTCTGAAGCTCATTAATGGTGACAAAACAAAGCTCCTCTTGGCCCCTTTTGCAGTAAAACTGATAGGATGGTAGTCAACTAGTCCCTTCTTCATTACAAAACTGGCTGCTTGGTTATTAAATCCACCCTTCTTGTCTTTGCACCTGAGACTCAGGCCTGCACCTGCCTCATAGTCCACACCACTGTACACAAAACAACCCTTTTGGCTTTGGGATTCCAATGACACTGTTCCATCTTTCCCATCCAATCCGGTGACTAACAGGAAGCTGGAAGCATCCTCTTCAGCAGGAGAGTTACCAACTGAAATCCCACCGTCTGATTCTTGAAGTAGAACCTTCCCGGGATAATCAAATGGTTCAAGAATGACTTGTTGGCCAATTAAGTCTGATAGGCTTGAAAAGTTTGATGCTTGTCCACTCAAAATGACTCTAAATGTTGCATCGACAGCAGCATCAGTGCCGGATTCAGGGTATTTCTCCATTTTAATCAATTGGTCCGAGTTCGCCAAGACAAACTTAGAGTTTCCAGACTGTTGGGAGAAGGTAACCAGGTACTCATTGTAGCGCTGGGGGATGGGAGTGATCCAGTCTGAAAGAGAACTAACCGATCCAGTTTTGATGTCCAAATCGCCATGACTGTAACCCGCAAGAAGGTAAGGACCATAAAGGATTGCTTGGAAGGAAGCATATTCGGGGCGGTCATCTGAATTTTACCCAGAAAAGTTTGTCAGAACACTTCATCCATAACAAACTATGGCCAAATCATAGTAAAAAAGCAATTTTCTTTACAAATTTGTGAACATGAATCCTATAAAAATAGTAAGAAGATTCAAAGAGCTGATTAGGGGGAGATGAGTTTTTGAATTGAGAATTAGAAAAGATATACAGGTGTTTTGTGCATCTTTAGAAACAGGGTTGTCTTCCATGAAAGTACCTTTAATGGCCTCAGTTCTTAGGCTAAGAGGTAATTGCAGTGTTAATTTGTCATTAGGACTCCAGCTTTGAGTAACTGGTAGGAAACTACCTGGAAAGGGAAAAGGAATGAAATTTTATTCAAATGTACAAGACTTACATATTTAAAAGAATAATTGAGATTAGTCAGAGTGATACCTGGAAGTGGGAGAGGCAAAGTTTCAGAATTTAATTTCGCTTCAGCACCATTCGGATGTGTCCAAATAGGTATCCGCAAATTCAAGGTAGATGATTTGTCTACCCCCTGAAAGAATCAGTTTGGAAGAAAATTTAACTTCTCGTCTTTGTTTTCAAGTAATAATGCAGTAAAAAACTCGTTTATAAGTATATATTACAGCCATATAAGCTCTCTTCTAAGATAAATAGGCAGATAGCAATGATATCTCCATTAGGATAATGGAACACTCATGTAAACCCCAAGATCATCCATAGCAAATTAATTTTGCTAGTTACCTCTTCCGAAGAAAATGTGATTGTTATTCGCATATATGGATCCCAAGAAACAACTGGATCAACTTTTTGATTCAGGGAAATTTGCCCTGATTTCCAATTAACTGAGCTTGATACATACTGGATGATGTAAAGACTAGGATTATCTCCTTTCTCTTCAAAATATAAGGAATCTCCCAACTTTGAAAACGATTCAATTCCTGCAATAATATTAGAGAAAGCAAAATCATTAGACTGAATAAACTCAACAAAATATGGAAGAAAGCAGATATACTAATTGAGAAAAAGCAAAAGTTGGATGTAGTAGATAGACCATACCTGTACCATAGCAGCACCAAAAGGAATCAAACTTTGTCCCCCATCCATGATAGCTCTTGCCCTTGGAAGACCCAGGACCTAGTGGTAGCATGTAAATCATTATTCCAGGCTCTGTTCCTCTCTGGATGCCAAGCACACCGTTTGTCAAGGCACGTTCATAGTAGTCTGCATATGCTGCTGCTTTTGTCCACCTAAAGAGGTTCCGAGAAACCTGCATAATCAAATATGTAGGATGAACATTTTCCATCAAACTGGTTTTGTATGGCAAACCCCCACAAAAAGCACAAGAGAAGTAAAATGCTAAATCATTTAAAGAAATCATGATTTTTTAGATATAGATATCTTATTTACACAGGGACATAATGGTTACATGTCTCAGAAAAAATCAAGGTTGTCGTTACATACCGAAAGATCACATCTTTGAATTCAAGAGATTACCTTTAACATGTTATAGGTTGTACACGACTCTTCATTTTCAGTTTGAAGAGTGCTTGCCAATCGCTTTGGATCTCTCCTGCACATAGTTTAGAAAAGTAGTGTCAACGGATAATAGAGAACCAAACCTTAACGGTCAAGAAATGTGAGCTTTAAATTCTTAATGTTAGTACCAGAACTCATTGTATGATGTCCCTCCTGTTGCATAACTGTGAGAAGAGTTAACAGTTTCCATGAAGAATGTGCTTATTTCCTGGCACAATGATATTAGGAAAAGTTTTATAAGAGATCTTAACAGCCATCTCCCACTTCAGATGACAAAAACTCTGCATCCTCAAGAAAGTTACCTTATAAAGTGGTTCTCCAGTGATTTCATAACGCATTTGGGATCCAATAACAACAGGGATGTGGGTATTGGAATGGAAGCCAGCTATATCATCAGCCTACAGGGAAAAACATAAAGAACTGTCTGATAACGTTATCTAGAAATGTACCCTTCATTAACCCTTCTCTGTATAGCATTTTACGAACTAGGATTCTCTCATTGAACCTCTGTCACACTACTTTTCATTAACCCTTTTATTTTCTCTTCTTACCAGGATAGAGTTTCTTTAGTGGACTACTTAAAGGTCCAACATTATCAGAGAACAATAGCCTATGACCAGAAAAACAAAACCATATGTCAGTTACCTGAACTGCAAGCAATCCTAGAAAGCATGGTTTGTCGAAAAGATGAGCCAACAATAAATGCTTTGGATCTCCCTGCATAAAACATCATGAGAGGGCTGCGTCAGGAGCTTAAGATTTCTCTTCTTTTTTTTTTTTTTTTTTTTTGATAACTTCACACCTACATATAATGCAAAAACCTAGCTGCTATAGCTGATACAGAACCAGGCAAGTAAAAAAGAAATTTTCAATTGTGTTAACAGAAGCCCAGATAGGGACAACGGAATCATACAAATGAATTTACTCACCGTTAAGCTGAATAATCTGTAAAGAACATCATTCATTCCACCAGTTTCATCGTTAAGAGATTGCCAATGTCGTTCAATACTGTACTTCGTTATGACATGCTGAACCCTGTTGTAAAAGTACTGAGCCATCCATGTTGCCATTTTTAAAGCATGATCATTGCCAGCAAAGATATACTGATCTAAGAGACCAGCAAAGATCTGTCATCATCAACAAATCAAAAGCTAATCATAAGCATATTACAACAAAACTAGCTAAATTGCAAAGAATAGATCAAACTAGACTATACCTTATGAACGGTATAGTATGGAGCCCAGACATACTGAAGAGCTTCAACACGATCAAATAGCTCAGAGGAGAAAGCAGAAAGATATCCCGATCCCATCTTCTCCTGGCAGGTTGATAAAGCAGCCACCACTACAGACATTTTCTTATTGAGAGTATCATTGTGAGTGCTAGCCCACATCTGTGCTGTTGCGCTTAAGTAATGGCCTTCAAAATGTCAAAATACAGGGAGACTAAGCTAACAAAGCTTGAACAAGAATGTCTTGGAAACTTGAATTTGCTTCTTGTAACATCAATGAACATAATCCATTGAAAACACACTGGTATAGTCCCAACAATGTAACAAAATTTCACTAGCTTAACAAAGGCATTTCAACATTGTCCTTGAAATAAAGAAGAAAGCTTTTGAAAAATATGCTTATTTTTCAGAGAAAAGGGAACAGGTTGGCTGCCTTAAGCATGCTTTATCTCTCTTCTTTGTTCCATTCAAATCAATACTGAATAAGAAAATTACCTTAGTAGAATACACAGGAACCCAGAGAAACGTGTGGGATACCCAAAAAAAAGGGCCCAAATTTTGTTTTTAGAACAAAAAAGTTTCATTGAACTTCCAAAAAGTCTCCTTTAGGACACCATCTCCTATTCTCGAGGGAATCTAATCGAATTTGGGAAGTAAAAAAGAAGAGAATCATTACCCACAAATTAAAGAAACAACATACTCATCAAAAAAAATTTCTTAAGATTAACAGGAGGCAGAGAGGAAATATATACCTACAAAATGACCTCTGAGCTCAGTATCAGGGGCTTCCCAACCTCCATAAGGAGTTCCTGGAGTTGGCAATCCAGCCGTTTTCCTAAAACTCCATACCAAATTATCAGGATCCAACATCAAAAGATACTCCAAGTTTGTTTGCTGTGCTCGTCCCTGCACCGACATGGGATCCAACCTGACATCATGCAATGAAATCTCCTGAAGAAAATTTCCGGGCGCTTGGAACCCGCCGGGATTTTTGATTTTGCGATACTCCATTGCCCAGCTCACTTCGTTTTCTTCCTTGAGCATCTTTCTCGGCAGCAAATCAGACCAAGCCGAATCATCAGTTGGTGTCAAGTGGTAGTGACCCAACACCTCTTCTTTCCATGTCTGGTTTTTCGAAGTGGAGAGTTCGTATCGAAGAGTATGGGACTGAGGAAACTGGTTCGTACACTCCTTCGCCACAACAGTATGCAATAGCAAGAAGAGAACAAATGGTTTTAACAGCAAGAAACCTTTCATTGTTATGAAAAAAAAAAACCCAGATTAAAAAATGGTTCTGCTACCCAAAAAGAGGATCAAATTCAAGAAAAACGATTCGAAGAGTGATGAGATTTGGAAAACCCAGACTCAGAAACTGAGAAATCTGTTAACTAATCTTTAAAAAATTGCAGAAATGGGACTGATAGGGCAAATTAGAAGAAGACAAAAGCTGGACTTGAAAAACATATATGAAATTGGTAGCAAATTAGCCTATATATAACCAACTAAACCATAATTCCTATGAAGCATGAAGCAATTAAAACGTGAACTGAAATGGCAAAACTTAGAAACAATTAAAGCATGAACCATAAAAATCTCTAACAAACAAGTAAAAAGTTACTGTCAATAAAATCAACCCCAATTTGAATAACTTAAATAAACAGAGTGATCAAACAAGCATCGAACTTATATTGGAACTTCCAGAAATCTGTTAGATAGTTCAAGCTGGATAGTTAAAAGCTTGAACTCAGCGCAGAATCACATGCGACATCTCTATATATATAGACAAAAAAAAAAAAAAAAGTGTCGCAGACAATTTCGAGCTACATCTATCAGAAATGCATCTCGTGAAAGATAAGAAATACTTTTCATTGAAAAAGGGACTGGGTAATAGTCCCAAAAGAAATCGAAGAACAAAAAATTAATTCAGAGAGGAATTTACAGGGAAGCGGGAGAGAGAAGACGGATAAGGACAGAAAAGAATCACGGATATGGTGGTGATTTTCAAGGGTTTTGTTGGATTCAATATTGAGAAGGAGACAGTTTATACTGCAACGAAAAACAGAAACAAAGCCAGTTTTAGCTGTTACGTTACGTTACGCAGAGGGTTTATTTCATTTTGAATTTAAGAAAATAATAATTAATCAAAATTTAATTAGAGCAGAATTCTTAATTATATTAAATTGTATTTCTTATACATAAGTTTATATATATATATATATATAATTGATTTTTTATAATATTACGAAAGTTAATTACGATATTTTTCACAAATTCATAATGATTACTTTTTTTAGTTTAACAACTTGAATGTCAAAGTCTACCAATCACTATCATCGTACAGCGACATGTTTGGTGTCGTGTAATAATGTTTCACATTAATCACACACTTAATTATAAGTTAATTAATCCATAATCACTGGCTAATTAACAATTCTATTCATTATAAAACACAAGTAACCAATTAAAACAAAATGCTCGTGGATTATTATTTGGATTATACCAGATTTTAATCTAATTAAATAAAATACTTAAAACTTTGGAGACTATTTTTATTTTTAAAAAGTTGTCTAA